TTTATGTTATCTGGTAAAAACTAGATAACATAAATACTTGTGCAACCATAGGATTTGAGGATTTAAATGAGTAATTAGTCGATAAGACAGACAAGTTCCGCTTCTTATTTATCAATATTTTTAAAGCACAGATAGGTATGTACTTATATCGATGACTAATACATCTCTTTAGAATTTGACCCCAGATTTAATGTACAATATTCAAGAGAAAATGTACAAGATCGCATTAGCTTCCCCAAGATGGCTATATAGGTCGCGGGACGATCTCCGGCCACCGTAAGCGCGGGCCTGCGCACGGCGAGCATGGGTGGCTCCCCGTCCGACCAGAACCAGACCAGAGCGTACGGCGCGTCGCGTTCCGCGCGTGCCTCAAAGAGCCATCAGACCACCACGGATGGGGCCCAATGCAATAGGGCTGATACCGATATGGAGCCGCGGAGACCCTAACGGGTTACCGGGGCTCCGGCTCAACGTGCAGGACAAGGAACGGGGTGTTTTTTAGTCAGTATGAGTCTGACACTCCCTCCCGCCTCACCCAGGCGGGAGCAGTAATTCGATGATTTCACCCGCTTAAAAAAAAAATTTGGCCATATAGGTTTTTTTTACCTGTGTTTGTTTTGCCATTTCTTCTTAGTCAGTTAGGAAATGTCGACCTCATCGTTCGCTTGATAAAATTGACGTATAAAAGTGCTGCCTTGTAGCCTATTTGCAGAAATAAATTCATTTGTTTCACTTGTTAATAAAAATAATCTAATTCTGCGCTATAAAATCAGCTGTGAGGGTCCCGGGCCCTTTTGACCAAGTCCGACCCTGTATCCTGTACAATATAACATGCATTCTATTGATTAACTTATTTATATAAATTCTTTTAACAGGCATGTTTCTAGAACTACAAGCGAGGTGTGAAAAGTACCAAATTATGAAATAGTCAATTAGTCTAGCACATCAAGCATTTAACATTTAACAAATTAACTAAAAACCGCGGGTTACTTACGTGAATATACTGAGAAAAGCTGTAGTAGAGCTTTTCTCCTCATGAGCAGCGTGTGCGGTCAGGGCAATGTCGCGCAGCCTATTGTGAATTTGTGACCCGAGATTTTTAGTTAATTTAGTATGTCTCACGATGGTTATTATAGAAACATAACAATTAACAAGTTAATAAAACACTAAAGTCCATGAATTAAGATTTATTTTCCGTTAATATCAGATTAAATGGTTACATGTATGTAAATGTAATGTCATGTAATATATTAAATAAGTGCCTGTGACTAAACTAGGCTTGTCCAGTGATATTCAAACTACATAGTTATGATATAAATTCAAAATACATGATATTGATATTGCACTGAGTGACTACTTCGCTACATCTAAAGCTTATAAAATTATTTTGTGGCTACGGTTTTGACAGCTGCCTGCAGCAATTTTGTCTGGATTTTTGTCTAGATTCAACTGTGATATAGGTGTATAGATTTTTAGATCCATAACTATATAACCTAAAATTATTATTGAGGGCCAAATGTGTGTAATGAAACACATCAAATTTGTTCTACAACACTGATTTTACAGCATATTCATTTGTGTATATTTTAAAGTTTTAATGCATGTATTTCCCAAGCATTTACCAAAACAGTCATAGCAGGAGAGTGGCAGCATTACCTAAATTTTATATAACCTAACTGTAAACTCCAAGTCATTTGCCAAGCGTGTACACACGGCCACTCATCAATCTATACATAACCAGTTTATCCTGGTGTCGCGGCGCATTATCTTTCCGCACATTTAACGTTCAGTTCATACTGGTTATGTAAAGCTCGATGTGTAGCCGTGTGTACATTATGACAAAGTCCCACAGTAAATGAAATCTTTAATCGGCCATTATAATTGTTCCAGACACAACCAACACCCGTAGCCAACAACACCTAATCGAGTATCTCATATTAATACGAAGAACAATAAATAATACTTTAACCTCCCATGTTTCACACAAGATCATTACACATAGGCATTTCGTATCAAAATCTTACAATACATATTGTACTTATATTATAAAAATGTCATACATATGAGTATATATTATTATAATATGTATATTGAATATTAATATAGGTACAATGGGGGGCTCATCCGCCTGACCTGACTAAGTTAATGTTTGCAAGACATTTATGGTTTGATTTTTTTGCCAGGTACAGGCAATACAATTTTAAAATGGTCAGGCGAGTCTGTCCCCCACTGTACGTAGTGTTATTGAATTCGTGAATAAGAACAAGTTCGAGTTATTACTAAGCACATATTTGTAAATAATCTTACATTTATTGCGACGTATCAACTGCAAATTAGGTAAGTATCTAAATTAAACTTGTGTATTATAATAAATATCGCCAGTAGTAATCCAAAAAATACCCACGAATTCAATAACACACTGTATAAAAAAATTAAGTTACATAATTGATTTTATATGATAATATTATATGAGTAGTGTAATAGTTTTCTTACATCTATGATGTATTCTAAGCCCTGGGTATTCGAAACCAAACCTTTTATAGACATTTACATAAAAAGTGTCCCTTCGCCTAATAATACACAGTAATCGAACATGGCATAATAATGTAATTTTTGTAGCATTAAAATAAAATATAAGCTTGTAAATATCACATAAAATTGTCATTTATACATTCTACAAACAAAGATGGACCATAAAATAATTATGTTAAGGTTTCGAATAACCTGGGTCTAGCGACTTTTTTATATATATAAAGTGCACAAGATAAACATAGTCTAAGACTATTTATTGTATTATAAATGTAAACACATAATATTAATGTGTATTAAGAGCCATAACACACCGGGACGCCATTGCGGAGTCAGCGGATGTTAATTCACTTGGTGACCGACTGGCGACGTTGCCAAATATACGAACTTAATACAAACTAGTTGGCGACGTCGCTGGCCACGTCGTCATGGCGTCTCCTTGAGTTATGGCTCTAATTGCAGACGAAATAACCATTTTAATAGAAATATATGGTTCTGATAAATAATTATATTATAATGACGACATATTTATTTTATATTGAGTAAAAGTTAGATCATAATGATTAAATTTTTTATAGTAAACAAACATTTTTCGCTACATAACATAATTGTAACCGCCTGAAAATTGCTAATTCAAGGCTAAAAAAATCTCCTCTCAGTTTTTCAGACACAAAATCGTGACGTATACTGAATAAATAATATAATATGTATTATAAAATAATTATATAAAAAATCACATTGTCATACAAGTCGACCAATGACAAAGAAACAGTCGATTTTAAACTAAAACTTCCTAATACCACAATATACAAACACATTATATACACAAAGACAGAATTAATACTTGCATGTTTTCGCCAACGACTTCTAAATTTAAAAGTAACCCCTAAGTAAAGATAGGTGACAATTATTATAGTCATATTTATTTCCACCAACCTTTTAGTGACACCTAACAATAGAAAGTAAGTTTGGGTGCTATGTTAAGGGTCAATTTTTCTATCTTTTTCACTGTAGAATAAATATGACATTCGACAATTTTTAGTACCTATAGAAGAAATGTCGTGGTGGCACGGAGGTTTAAGACGCCCGCTTCTCATGCATGAGGGTGCGGGTTCGAAACCTACCAACGGCAAGTACCAATGTGACTTTTTCCGAGTTATATGTACTGTCTAAGATTATTCAGACACCACTGATAAAAGGTGAAGGAAAACATAGTGAGGAAACCTGGGCTTATAATTTCTGATTATAAGTTTGTAATCGCCAACCCGCATTGAGCAAGCGTGGTGATTAATGTTCAAACCTTCTCCGTGAGAAGAGGATTTGCTCAGCAGTGGGCATTTATAGGCTGTTGATGAGAAGAATTGTCAAATGTTCAAAGTTATTCCTTATTCCTTATCTGGCGTTGGAAAAATCCTCACTATGACGGTGATTACACTAGATTTTCAAATATTTTTCCATGAATTAGCAATCACAGTTAGCTAGGTAAGGAATAGTGATTCTTATCCTTAATATGCATGGGTAATTAACTGAAAATGTCCTTCAAATTACACTATAATAGTTTGGTAGCATTACTACAAGACCACTTTACTGAGGCCTTCAGTAAACCAATAAAACAGAGGCCTTAGTACGAATTCGTTTTATGTTGAGAGTAATCGAAACGAGACTGCTTTCGGCGCTCCGATTGGTTAGTTCATTGGCGCCGGCCAATCAGAGGCCTTAGCCTTTTGAGCGCCGATGTCACATATAAGTGACAAGTGAAAACTGTCCCTGGACGCCAACGACACAAATACATGACAGAAAAAGCGGAACCGGAAACACGAAATCAACATTTGAATTCCCTATTGAATCCCTATTTCTTCCGTAGAAATTTGCGCGGAATTTGTGGCTTGGCGTTGAGGGCAGGTTCATGTGTTTTTGCTCTGGCGTTCAAAAGGTTAGTACGAGTTTGTTTTACGCTTAAAGTAATCGTAACGAGTACGCGTTCGACGCTCTGATTGGTTGGTTCATTGGCGCCGGCCAATCAGAGCGCCGAACGCGTACTCGTTTCGATACGTGAAACAACTTGTACTAAGATCTCAGAGCGCTGGCCGCGATAACATTTTGATTCCGTTAAATGTAAAACAATTTAGTACTACGCCCATAGTTATCCCATAAGGGAAGTAGACAGTTTATGAAAATTTAAAATGTAATTAGTCCGTCAGATGGATAATGAAAAATATTAGACACTTATTATTTTATTTTGTCGTATACAAAAACAATAAGTACTTTAGATAAAACGGAGTTAAGTTTAGGAGGTCGTTACGTCACGCTACCATATAAAATGTAGTAAATCGTGACGTCACACAATATTTCAAATCAATATATCGTCGAACGTATTTAATTTTGTAAGTAAATAAAAAATACTAAGATTCATCATTAAGACACTTAATGATTTAAAATAATTTACCAGACGGACATTAAAATAAAATTTACGATACTACCCTATTGATATGATAAGTGCAAAGGAAAGTTTATTGATTGCCTCTTTAAGTTTTATCTACGTAAAAATCTTAAAAAATTCGCATACACGCAGGTGGGAGTACAGAGAAGGATATCGGCTACATGAGTAAAGCTGTGGATAAAAGCTAGTCTTAATTTTCTAACAACTTGTAATTTTAAAACTACATTCGCATGAGAAATCAGCACAATGTGCGTGGGATGAAATAATTCTGTGTTAAACGCGCTTTTTTGCCATTAGCGATAGTGGCGCCGCTGACTTAACATTAAACGACCATTTCATTCACAAGAGAGCACTCTTTAATTCATCTTTATATCCCATGATAACACCATTCAACAAGCAACAATAAAAGTGTTGCAATACCCAACCAATCACGCCATTAATTCCAAAAAGGGAATACAGAAACCATAGTTTCATACCTTTAAAACTGACGTCTTCTAAAAAAGCGCGCCAAAACTTTTTTTTTTCGCTCACAGATTATGTAGGGACGAATCAGTGAACAGACTTCTAAGAAATTCGTGTTCATACGCTAGAGGTTGTATAGCCCTGGGTGGTTATTTTTTTAATTAAATGATTAGTTTATCTGAAATCGTCCTGGATGCTGTTGGTGTTCCTCCCGAATTCAGCGATCACTGGCCTGCCGCTCAGAATGGTTCCATGCACCTCATCTAAGGCCTGGATTGCTATATCTTCCGCTGTGGAGAAAATGATGAGATGTAGATAAGCAAATACAATGAGACTCACTTTATTTATGGGATAAACGACCAGACGGATCACTTAATGATAAGCAATCAGCGTCGCCCATGGACACTTGCAACACCAGATGCGTTAAAGTGCGTTACCAGCCTTTTGGGAATTAGGAATTTGAGCATTGTTGGAGGTTCAGAGATTAGGCAGATTGGGAAAGAGGTATCTACTTATTTAGCTGCAAAAAACGCTTTTTATTCGCAAACCGCAAAAAAACTTTGAAATAATGTTGTGTATATAAAATGTACCACCTCTTTTTGAGTTCAGTTTTAAGTTCCATGTAATGGGAGGCAGATTTATTAGTCTGATAGAATGACATGTTCCATAATCTCGCCTGCAGGTGAATCTTTAAAATTTAATGAAAGACATTAAGCTGATACTGACAATTTACAAATCGAATAAACTAATAATGGTAATTCGCTTAAGCAGATGAGTTAAATCTGATTAATATTATAAACGCGAAAGTTTGTGATTGTGTGTATTGTTTGTTACACAACCACATCAATACGACTGAAGGGATTTTTTTGAGGGGTAAATCATCGAATGACTGCTCCCGCCTGGGTGAGGAGGGAGGGAGTGGCAGACTCTTACTGACTAAAAACCACCCCATTCCTTCTCCTGCACATCGAGCTGGAGCCCCGGTAACCCGATAGGTTCTCCGCGACAACGACTGAAGGGAAAGGGATAAAATTTGGAACTGGGGTATGGAATAACAAAATAGTATAGTTTCCTACTACAGGAACGCGGGCTAAGCCAAGTCTGTCACAAACTATTCTTAACATAAAAATAACAAGTAACATTTTCTATACTTACATTGGAAAGACACAAAAGCCTGGCCTCGCATGCGTCCAGTCATCAGCCTCACATCCACGGGGCCACCGTTAGCCAACAGAAACTGGTTGAAAAGTAACGACAGCTGCTCAAGGCTCACTGTTGGAGCTATGTTCTTTAGAAACAGCACCTGGAATTATAGTTGCAATGTAACTTCAACCATCAGTACATATAACAAAGTCGTTTTCTGCTTGTTGTGGTTAGATCTTTAAAACTATACTGTTTTAATGTTTTTTTTTAAATATATAGAGTGATTCAAGAGGAAGGTTTATAAGTAACTACTTCGAATTAGAGCGTACAAAGCCGCGGGAAAAACAAGTGACATAATAATTAATTGAATATTTCGCTCTGATATGGAGAATGCAAGGCTCGAAAGCAACTCGCGTACTAGCCAGCGCTCGCGGTTTATCATAATTCGCGAGTTGTTATTATCATTATAATCATGACTCGTTCGTCTCGGGTTCGATTCCCGGGTCGGGCAAAGTATTACTAGATTTAAAAAAAATTCTCAGTAGTACCACGGAGTCTGGAACTGTGCCTGGTATATGGCAATAGGCTCATTTACATGGGACTCATAACATAAATAGTGAAAAGTGGGTGTTACATTGTACAGTGGTATAATGTGCATCTCTGTCTACCCCTTCGAGGATAAAAGGCGTGATGTTATGTTATTATCATCACTGATTAATGGATCAAGACCACCAGAAAACTTGAATACAGCAATCAATGTTCTCCAATTAAAAATATATGGACACACCTAACAAGTCTAATAAATCTATGAGGTATCTTCCTCGATAAATGGACTATGCAATTCAAAAAGAAACACACAATAAAAACCAGTACTTCTAGAGATTAATGAATTAATTTTCAAATGCTAAGCCAGAAACAAATTGAACATACTTGTATTGAACATACCTTGGAAGGAGTACCAGGAGTCCAGTCCTTGAATCGATCAATCTTCCTGATATCATCCGTTGGCATCTTAGTCCCTTCCAAGAGGTTCGTTTCAGCATCATTATTCTGCATCACAAGATCCAGAGCCCTATGTTCGTCCTGTTCTCGCTGTACAGGCTCCAGCCTCAGAATCTTGTTGTTCCGTACGGTATACATTGCTCGGAAATGCGGACCCATTGCATTAGCCTCTTGATCTTTGCTAGTGATAGTGTGAGGAATTAAGCGAGGCATCTCCCTCATGTCCCAAAGACTTCCTGGTCTATCTACTCTTGATGTGCTCGGTATCGCAGCAATGTTGAATGGATTATCATGCTGCAGTCTTTCTTTCTTCCTCTGTAAGCGGCGCAGAAGCTTGCGTCTCTTAGTCAGTGGCATCATGTCATTCTTCATTTGTCCGAAGAGGTTTCCCTCTAGCTGTTTCAGCTCGTTCATCGGGTGCCCCTCAGGATAGAAAGTAATAGGCTTCTGTTGAAGTCTTTCGATCAGGTTTTCAGGAGCAGATGATGTACTTGGCTGTTCAGTTTGTGATGTTACTGTATGACTGAAATTAATTAATTATTAGATTCCTATTGATTGTCATATTATGCTCTAATTCAAGTTATGAGTGTAGTAGTATCACCACAAATGTTACAAAACAATCGCATGAAAGACAATTTAAAACATACTGTATAAATATTTTATACATAATGTTTCATAGTTAAGTTATGAAATACATACCTTTTATTTTGATTGTGTGCGTTATTGATTTTATTGTATATGTCTTCGAGTTTATCCTTCAGCGCTCCGGACTCGATCTTCTTACGCTGATCCAGGAGCCCCGCCTCATTCTCCTGATACAGCTTTATTTCCTCGCTAGTAAGCCCAGCTTTCTTCAGCCATTCGTGGTGGTGCACCTCCTCCTCAGCTTTCCGGAACTCTTCAACCGATGATAAACCATATTTCGGAAACGGCAAGACCTCGGTAGTCTTTTCAAACTCCTTCGGCAAAGACTCCGAACTAAAACAATCATATTATTTATAACACTAAAATGTTACGCGTAACTACTGTAATATTTTTACTATTTTATTTACCACATCGTTTTCACCAATAAAGAACTTCACACACAATTTTTCTGTTGAATTAAACTCTCTAAATCACGAATAAAAAATAAGCAATAACAAAAAGAATAAGACTGCTATTTTCCCGCTGTGACAGTTTGAACGCTTAAATTGACACGATCGATCGGAAAATCTAAGTCAGTAAGTTCGGACTCGAATAATAGGCCTTTGAGAAAAATATTATAGCCCGACTAGGAATTATTTATTGTATTGTGTCGTGGGATCGTGGTTAGAGGTGGCATTTTTTGAATGAACACTTAAATAACAATGGAAAAATGTCCAGTATATAATTTGTCCGATCATGGTGCTTACTCTTGAAACCAATCTCAATGTCGATGCAATATCAATCTAATAAAACCTCAATAATTACTCAATGTCAAAACTAAACAACCAAAATCGTAGCTGTTGAAATAGCATTCAGAGTACGGAATATAAAGCCAAACTCAATACCATTTAGTTCATTCAATATCCACGCAATACGAATGCAATGGGCGCTAGTGTTGCAACTCAAGAGTACGAAATTTGACAATGCACATGTCGATCGATCGGACTTGGATTCAAGAGTAAGCCACCTGATCAGTGGAAAAACCGCCCATCTATAGTCTATAGCCACAACACGACACGCCATGCCAAATACTTTACCGTTGGCAAATGTGAATGGAAATTGCAGAAATGAAATTATACGGCCGGTGCACGAGTACTATTGCATAGATTTAACCAACGAGGCAAAGAAAAATTAAAATTAAACAAGATAAAATAAAAAAAATATGAATAATCAAAAAACTCCTGAATTAATGTTCCACCCGACTAAGGCATGAGAGTATTTTTTTTTCCTTCTTCTTTGGCAACCGAGTCTCCAAAATAGTGTTGTCGACTATACTGCCAGTGTCAAGTGGTGACGGCAAAATTATTGAACCGTCGAACATAACTTTGCGGTAGTTTTTAGTTGTTAGTAGCTGAAAGGACAAAACAATTGGGTTAGTAAACATAAACATTCAACTATTTTATTGTTAGGTATACAGTGGTGTAGAACATAGTTGGGGGATATACACAATATAGACAGATATTAATATACATCATTGAACACCATCACATTTGATTGGGAGCGGAATTTGGATACTGGGAAGTTTTTCATAGAGATCAAAGGATTGGGAATTTAAAGGACACGAAAAAAAGATGTGTTCAAAGGTTTCCTCATCAAGGCCGCATTCGCACAGCGAGCTGTCGCGGACACGGATCTTATTGAGGAAGACCGGACAGAACCCACAACCTCATGCATAAGAAGCGGGCGTCTTAAACCTCCGAGCCATCACAAAGCCAATCTCCCTTTACTGAAAATCATGTTTTTCACTTATCTTTTTTACTTCAAGGCTGAAAATGACAAACTTGGACTTGAGGTGGAAGGTTACAAGAATAAAGCTCACTTGGCTAAAATCGAAGCGGACGAAAGATTCGAGAAGTTCAAAGTAAGTTTCATTGCTCAACACGCTGTGCAGCTGAGCAGAAAGAATACAAATATTAAAATAACTGTAGCTCCCATTTCATTGTTTAAAGCCCAAATTGCATTGCACTCCACAAGTCGTTTTTGAAAAAAACCGTCATTATTAATTCCCCGTTCACATTCACAGTGCAGTAGCCTACTACTCGCAGCGCCATCAATGCCAGACCTCAATCCAGAGTCTTCCGATAAACCAACACCAAATGACGTCATACCCTCTGCATCGGTCAACGCATCAGAAGCCAAGCTCATCAGTCCACTGTCAGCTTTCCGTATGGTGCATCCTCTAGGACCATCCTTAGAATTCCTATTTTCTTATACCTATTAACCTACTAAAATACTAATCCTACTAAAGTATACTGGTGTCTTTCGATGCAAGACCGAAGGCGTCGAATCAAGCATTCAACATAAGTGGTATTTTTAAATATACGATATGATTAAAAGAAAGTAACCATGTCATGAACATGACTGATATAAGAAATTTTAGGCATTTTTAAGTTTATAATTAAATTAACGAAAATAATGTGTCTTGTTTCTAAGATGAACATAAAAATATGTACAGTTACATATTTCTGAGAATAAAAAACACATTGAATAATTGTAAAATAAATAAGTGTAAAGTAGAAGTAATAATTATTGTGTTTTACTAACTAACAACATTAAAGAATAACGTCATTGATGTAAATAAAACATTAGGGCAACACTGACTGTTCTTTCTTGTCATTACTGTCAGTCAAAACAAATTAGTTTTCAAAATTCGAAGTAGTGGAGTGGTTGTTGCGTGTGTTTATCAAAAATAATTTCGTTAAAATGAATAAATGGTGGAATTGGGTACTGGGGTTCGCGTTATTCTGCCTCTTATTTGTTGCAATACCTATTTCATTATCGCGGCAGAAATCTGTGGAAGAACTTAAGCCTATGTTCGATGATTACATTGCGAAGTTCAATAAAAGTTATGCGACTCCAGAAGAATATTCGGCGAGATTTCAACATTTTGTTGTAAGTTCTTTTTTTGAATTTATACATACTTTTTACTTTTTATTTCATCGGTAGGACCATAGAGTTTAAGAAAACTTTTATAAACTTATCAACTTTTTATTGTATTTATTTTGCTTTATCTTGTTTGTTCCTGTAACTATCAGAAAGTGTACCTATATTTATTTTATCTCAACGCACAACAAGGACAAGTTAGTATTGATGCATATTTTATATGATTTAACTTTAAAGTTCCAATAAGTAAAATCTATTAATTCTATAAAATCTTGTTATCTATTTTATTTGCTTTTTTTAAAGCTACAACGACTTACTTACTTAATTATAATTATATTCAAAGGCTACATACAACCTACCTACCTACAAAATATGATCTGGTTTATTTGGTTTATTTTTATTTACTAAAAATGTCGGTACTTTTTTATTTTTCTGTTTTAGTATAAACTTTTATTCTTTTGTTAGTTAAAAAGTTTTGTTTTGGTACTATGTATTTGTAATCATCTATATCAAATTTAAACATAGTATTTTGAACACTGAAATAACTGCACTTATACATTATAATACTAATGAAATATATTCATAAAATAAAATGAGTTCATAAAATTAGGAATGCATTATTATTCTTCTGATATAACATAACATGACACCTTTTATCCCCGAAGGGGTAGGCAGAGGTGCACATTCATCAACAGCCTATAAATGCCCACTGCTGAGCAAAGCCTCTTCTCACATGGAGAAGGTTAGAGCATTAATCACCACGCTTGCTCAATGCGGGTTGGCGATTTCAAACTTATAATTAGAAATTATAAGTCCAGGTTTCCTCACGATGTTTTTCCTTCACCGTTTGTCAGTGGTGTCTAAATAATCTTAGAAAGTACATATAACTCGGAAAAAGTCACACTGGTACTTGCCGTTGGTAGGGTTCGAACCCGCACCCTCATGCATGAGAAGAGGGCGCATTACGGCCACTTAAACTGTCAAACACCAAGCGGTCACCGGTGACCGCAACCTATTGTTCTTTAATTGTGTCTATAAATACGGGACTCGACGAGTTAATGGCACTGTACAATGTAACATCCACTTTTCACTATTTATGTTATGATCCCCATATGATAGGGGGTCGGCCTTTTAACATATTTATTATTCTGACTTATTCTTAAAGTTATAAATTTAATATAGTTTTTCATAAAAAAATATGAAGTCACATACTTGTTACTTATAATAAATATAATAACAATAGTAACATTCATTACAAGCACATCAAAAGTATAAAATGAGACAGTGCTTCATTGTTTCTTACCCTTGACTTACTACTCCTTAAAATATAATTAGGATAATGACAAATTCAATTAAATATTTGTGGTATGTGCTAAATTACACTTACAGCATATTTGCAGACACTCAAACGAGTTTACATTTGCCCTTATTTACAAATATTAATTTATTTTAACTACAGGGCGAAGGCCTCCCTATCCTGCTTCCACTCCTCTTTTTGCAATGATCTAAACAATTATTATGACTATAATAATTAAATATGTATATTCAATTCATTGCATTAATTGTGTATTATTTTATTAAGTATTCAGATAATTCAGAGATAATGCCAGCTAAGAGTCTCTTTACATTTTAACATGTGTGTGTCCTCTGGGCATTTACACTCTAACTTCTGTTCGCTCATTTGAATATAATTTTCAGTCTTCTAAACAGATAAGGCTTACATTGTTACTTTCGTAAGACATATTATGACCCATTTTTCAATTATCTGTAGATTTACTACAATTAGAAGAAGTAGATTTACGACAACTATTTTAACTGTAGAATAAAAATAACATTTGGCACTTTTAAGTATGGAAGAATTGTCAAATATTCAAAAGTTATCAGTTCAAAACAGTCTATATCTATCTAGTGTTGGAAAAATCGGCCCTAAATTCATTATTATTTTAGTTCCATGAGTGAGCCGATAACATAATTATTAACAGACTAGGCTGTGAGTTTATAATCCTTCCAAGAGTAGATAGTATGATAAGTATAATGGCTTTAATAATAAATAGATTCTTTAAGAAGTCGGTTGAAAGTACACTCTCATTGGTATGTAATATTTTTTTTTAATTTCATTTATAGACTTTATTACTTCTATAAAGTAGACATACCTACATCTGGTAAAAATATAATTTAAAGTAAGTAACAATTATTACTACATAATCGACATATGTGACCAGAGGGCTGGCTATTTCTTCGGACAGCTAGTGCTAGAGCGAGTGTCTCTGAACTGAATATAACTATTTGAATTGTTGTAACCATACCATAGGTTGGATACTGTTTTGAAACTGACCTTTTTTTATCTGCATACTAAATTCCTAACTTGGCTGACTGAACTATTTTGTAGCCCATTTACTGAAAAAGTATCATGTACAGTTATGGTTCAGATATGGAAAAATATGTGGCTCATAATTTGCTTTTTCTATGAATCTACTTATTACAATTTCTTAAAAGTACATAATCTTTTTTCTAGGCATCAGTGCAAGAAATAGAGCTTCTAAATGCAGCATCAAGAGGACCAGACCACTGCAAAGCAAAATATGGACTTACAAAACTATCAGACATGTCAAAGACTGAATTTAAAGAACAGCATTTAGCTGATGAAAAACTCATGAAGCCGCCTAAATCTTATGGCAGGAGACGAGCTCGTGATGGCAAATCCAGGAAATATGATGATGATGATGATGACAAGCCCTGCTCCAATAGTCCTCATGACAATATTTATGTGATCATCAGGAAGAAACGGGCTGCACTACCATTACAGGTAGATTGGTAAGTCTGTTTTATTGTTATATACTTTTAATGCAATATGTACTGAATTATTTTCTGTTTCTTGCAATTAGTTAAATACAGAAACTATACAATAGATCATCATCGAATGTGTATTTTGGTATATTATAACAACGGATGGTATAATTGCTCATAAGTTCATATTGGTCCCATAGTTAACTGTTTGCGCTTATTTGAGATCAATGTCATGTCTATGTGTGTATTTGAGATTTATTTTCTATAATTACTTACTTTGTCGTTTTCTACCCTTCTTTATACATTATTATTTATTATTTCCATAAGTCTCTTTAATTTTTTTTTTAACACTAGGATTAGTGTTAAATAAAACTTAGAGCATTGAGATTGTGTTAATTTAGGTCTCTCTATTATAATTGACCTGTGAATATAAATTATAATGTGACGATTTTGATTCTACTACAAGTTACTCATGTTATTTAACCTTGATTGCATCGAGTCAATAAACGGCAAATGCATAATCTAATAGTAAGTAGGTATGTTCGTCCACGTGAGATAAAATGTCGACGCACTCCCAACTGCCACTGTTAGTGAATATTTTTAGTACCATGTAGTTTTATCACTTTTAATTTTTTGTTGACGTTCAAAAGTGACTTTCTGGTCTAATTGAAATAAATGAACTACCTAAGGGTGGTTTAAAGGACCACACGTTATTTCAGTGACAGCAGGGCTGTCGAAAATCTCTGAACATTTAAAACTAGGATTGAAATAAATGAATTAAGGGTGGTTTAAAGGACCACACATTATTTCAGAGACAGCAGGGCTGTCGGAGATCTCTGAACATTTAGAACTAGGACCTTCAAATTTACCATTATTAGCATAATGTGATATTGTTTTTCATTTGAAAAATTTATATTTTTTTAAACTTGACATTTACCTCTATTTTTTACAATTGTTAGTGCTAGGACCGTGCGAGACTTTGCCTCGCCATTTCTTTTCTTATTTCTTACTCATACTCTGACAGTTTGAGTATTTGTGCGACCCACGCAAATGTTCTTTAGGTTGGTATTGTTCGTCGAATCACTCAGCCTCATCTGTTAATTGAGCTGACTGTAAACCGACACATGCGTACTGCTTTCAGAACGGGTCCGCTCAAACTGTTGTGGTTCTTTCCTCAAAAGGCCACTACAGAAAGAACTTGCACGGTTCTCACACGTAATCTCTTTATACATATTTGTCTGGACTTTAAAAGAGACAGACCTCTGAGTTTGTTTCGGCATTTCTTCTCAGAGTAGTCAGTTAGGAAATGTCGACCTCATCGTTCGCTTGATAAAATTGACGTGTAAAAGTGCTGCCTTGTAGCCTATTTGCAGAAATAAATTCACTTGTTTCACTTGTTTCACTACCAATAATGCAATTATAACGCCTCTGGTGTTTTGGGTGTCCATTCCATGGGTGGCGCCGATTGCTTACTATAAGGTGATCCGTCTGCTCGTCTACCGGCTTATCCCATAAAAAAGATATGACAAACCGTCTTATGTAGTGGACGGTCACCAGTTCACCACTACATAAGACGGACGGTTCTTACAAGTCTTTTTAACTAGGTAACTAGGTTTTAACTGGATTCAGTTTACTTATCATATAGACTAAGTGTCCTTTATATGAGTCAGAGGGTGTCTACAAATCCTGTGCCCCTATTTGTTCCAACCAACCCCTAAGTACACTTTAATTTAGGCATCTGGAAGGTACCTAAAAAAATGTAATCGTACTTAATTTAACTAAAAATCGCGGGTTACATGAAAATACTGAGAAAAGCTCTACTAGTTTCGAACCACAGAGGGGTTCTTCCTCATAAGCGCGGTCGTGGCGATGTCGAGCAGCCTACACGACAGTCAAGTAACTCGCGATTTCTAGTTAATTTAATAGGTATGTCTCACGATAGTTATAAATCGAACGGGTCTACGTTTATCAAAATTATCATCTACCGAGGTATATAATATACGACTGGTATTAAATATTAGGTAGTCATTAGTTAGGTACTTTAAATGCCTGACTAGATTGAGTGGTAGTGCAGGCTCATATTTTTTGATTTGAAGGATATTTTATTATTACTATTAACATAAAACTAGTTTTTGAATGTATACAGTTTTGCTGGTGCCACGTGTTGAGCACTTGTAGGACAAATTAAAAAATATCAGATGACATATCACAAGCCTATAAGTGCCCACTACTGAGTAAAGGCCTCTTCCTACACGGAGAAGGTTTGAGCATTAATCACTATCGCCACGCTTGCTCAAGATGGATTGGCGATTTCAAACTTATAATTAGAAATTTTCGTACATTATTATAAACTAGCCGACTAGCGACCCGCCCCGGCTTCGCAAAGGTGCATTATACATGTATTACACATAGGTATAAACCTTCCTTAAAAATCACTGTATGTATTAAAAAAACTGCATCAAAATCAGTTGCGTAGTTTTAAAGATTTAAGCATACATAGGGACAGACAGACGGTTTATTTTTTTTTAAGGGGGAAAATCATCGAATGACCGCTCCCGCCTGGGTGAGGTCCCGCCTCACCCAGGGAGTGTCAGACTCTTACTGACTAAAAACCACCCGTTCCTTCTCCTGCACGTCGAGCCGGAGCCCCGGTAACCCGTTAGGTTCTCCGCGACACAGACGGCGGATAGCGACTTTGTTTTATACTGTGTAGTGTGTAGTGAAGATCAAAAACATAATTTGTAAAAGTCAAGTCTAATAAGTCGTAACGCCTTTTTTCTAATGTAAAAAGTTAATCGAGTCCCGCGAAATACCAATCGAGTAATTTAAGTACCTATTCGCATTTATTGTCTGTCATAAATTCGATACTTACCTACTTGAGTTCAATGTATTGATTTGGTTGTGTCATGAAAAGACATTGTATTATTATTTCCTACAACTACAAGTAATACGATATGCCTTCCCATTACCTCAAATACCTAAATATTATGAATGGAACACCCACACGAAGGTTGCATTAGAAATATTTAATCAATAAATTATAAATTATACAACTGACTAGTTAGATCATTTATCACTTTGCTTTGTTTTGACCTGCTTCAAAAATGAAGGCCATCATTTCTTTCTATAGCTCTTTTATTAGAAAACTGGATTTTAATTACTTAAACGTATTTTAATGACGTATGACGTTATTCATTATTTTAATTCTACTTTAAATTTTCATGTTTAATTTCAATAATTTCATTGTCTCAATGATTAGTTCATACGTCACTGCAAATTTTTAATTATTCATTTATACAAAATTTTATTATAATTCAATTGACGTAAATGCTACCTATGAGAGGTCTATGATTGATAGTCTATATTTAGCAGCAAATAAAAAAATAACGTCAGCGGAAATGCATAAAAATACTCCACAGATTATTATAATTATTTTAAAATGTGTTTCTGACAAATGGAATTTTTGCGTTCTGCCTTTTACGTCATTTATATAATATGACCTCCGTTAGAACTACCTACTTGCGTAGGTAATATACCTTCCTATTCCTATTTATTCATAATTAAAGACTTTATTACTTCTAGATATTTAAATATAAGTTTAATTTATGCATTTCCCATACGGCTATAGTATACCTAGTTCGTAGTTATTTTTGTATTATCATTAACGTATCTACTATCTAGCTTCAAAATAGCTGTCAAAAGTCGTTGCCATTTAATACATGCAGTATAATTTACTTCTGCATTTTACTATCGTGAAATTCTATCCTTATCTATGCCAAATATATATATTATGTTAATCGTGACCGTTATTGTTGTGATGTAAAAAAATATAATAAGGTGATGTTACTCAGGGCCGTTTGAGACTACGCTGCGGCCCTTGGGCGCTCAATAATTCAAATTTGGAATGTTTTTTTTTAACGTTGCCCCACACTAGGATTTTCTCCTGAACCGTGGTTGTATTTACAAACATACAAGTTCACATACACATGACACTCAGACCCGAAATAACAATTTGTGGACTTACACAAAGATTTGCTCCGTGTGGGAAGCGAAACCGCTACACGTTGCGGAGCAGCCAGTTGCCGCGCGTGTAGTGCGTGTGTGTCCATCGTAGAAATTGTCGGTCCTTGGGCCCCCTGAGATCGGGGGCCCTGGGCACGGGCCCTGAGTGCCCATAGGGTAAAGACGGTACGATGTTACTCATTATTTTTTTACTAAATCTTTTTTCGGTCAATCAGTGCGGTGACGAAGGTCTCTAACGTGTTTATTTCTCGACAACCGGTTTTCAAAAGTACATTATATTCAATCGTTCTGTTGGTTACGGAATTTTTGTATAATATGTGAACGAATTTAGGGTTTTTCTAGTAGGTCAGCGTGATTTTGATGATTGGTTGACCTTGAAATTGGATTGAAGGGCTAATAAATGTCCTATTTCTATGAATTCAAAGTCTTTTTTGGTTTTACAGTTAACTTCTAGGTGTGTTGTTTGTTTTTTTTTTAATAATTCTGATTATAATACCATGATGTTGTAGGTAATATTGAGTCCCAATTTTCCTTTGTAATATTGGTTGATGTTGTCAGAATAGGTTCGTAAGAAAAAAAAAATAGCAATAATTAACATTGCCATTAAATTCGCAAATCCGTGCTTATTATACTAAATTAATGCTAAAAACTAATGATAACATCGCTCTCATGTCCAGTGGTTTTTTAATCATGTAGTTTGGAAAAATTTAAATATGGATTTGGTTAAAAAATAACTCGATAAGAAAAAAATCAATTACAGATTTATCCATTAAAATTAAAAGCAATAAAATTATGCTAAACTTGGAATCTTACCATCGTATTTGGGTATTTTCGTAAGTCAAAAATATGTAAATTACGTATTTCGAGTTTTTAATACAAAAATATATTCAAAAATAATCATTTTTCATTCATTGACTTGACGATCTACTACATTCTAGATGTTTTCTAGCATTCTCGGAAATATGTATCAATGCTATTTGTCACAAACAAATGATGATGTAGATATCAAATCATTAAAAAACCCATAGAAAAATCCCTATTTGACGTTTCGATAAAAATACCTTGCGTTGTGCTTCGTCGTGTGGTTACCGGAGGCCCAATTACCCTCCTCCCCAGTCTTCCCAATCCCCGAATCCACCACAATCCTCAAATCCCCAATTCCCAAAAGGCCGGTAACGCACTTGTAACGCCTTGGTGATTCAGGTTTCCATGGGCGGCGTCGATTGCTTACCATCAGGTTATCCGTCTGCTCGTTTACCGGCTTATGCCATAAAAAACCTAAGTACTGAATTTGTATAAATTTTGTGAGACAGCTAATTAATAAAGCCGAAAAATATAATTAATGTTTAGTTGTAAAATAGGTACCGTATTGCACGCGTAATCCTTGGAATGTGGACAGGTAAGACTTAGGTTTTTTAGGTAAACTATATTGAACAGTGAATATATTACTATTATTTTTCAACTATACCTATGACATTTAAAAAAATCTCCTATTATTAACCTGTATTTCGAGTATTTCGATTTATTTTCATACTTCACTTAAACGCACATTGCCTAAGCGCGTGAGTTTGGAGTTAATTATACTGAACGCGTGCGCCGATTTAAATATTCATGATTTTTTTTGTATACAATGTTTAGATTTTTTATTTTGTTTGTTTACTTTATCGATTTTGTTTATTTTGAAACAGTTTGTTGATATCACAGTTGTCATTGCCGCTCCTGGCGCTACTCTTCTCATGGGTGTCATAAACATCAGCTAATGACTACACCAGGAACTAAATAACTGGAAATTTAAGATACGTTTAAATTCCGGTATGACGGCATACCTAAAAATAAAGGGTACCGCTTTATTTTTGGGTATCAAATGAAAATCGGTATATTTCGCGCGCGCCTCAAAGAGCCATCAGACCACCACGGATGGAGCCCAATAGGGCTTATGCCGATACGGAGCCGCGGCGGGTTACCGGGGCTCCGGCTCGGAAGTGTAGGAGTAGGAACGGGGTGGTTTTTAGTCAGTAAGAGTTTGACACTCCCTCCCGCCCAGAGGCGTGCACAGAGATTTGAAGTAGGGGGTTTTTAGTCAGTAAGAGTCTGACACTCCCTCCCAACCCGACTGACCCAGCTGGGAGAATTCGATGTTTTTCCCCTCTTAAAAAAAGTACCTACCTTAACATTAATAATAAAGGTAATAAGGTAAACTAGAAAAAACAATCATAGACAAGATCACTCCGTTTAATCCCAGACGGTAGAGATATGTACTTACAGCCAGGCATTAAAAGTGTTATTGAGAAATTTTTGAAAACCGAAACAATCCCAGTAATACTTTCCCCAGACCCTGAAGTCGAACCCTTGGTAGTTGCACTCGATAAACGAGGCAGTTAACAACAAAGAAGAAGAAATAATATATTCATAGTTCCCCAGTAACTAAGTGTGATCAAATCTTTCGCCTACTCATTTAAAGAACCAGTTTTTATCAAAATAGACGACATTCGACAGATACTATGCTTAAACTAAATTGAATAACGTTATGTAATATAATCTATTGATCAATTGAGTCATCATCATTGCCTGTAACAATCGCATTGCTTAGAAAAGGTCTATTCTCACTCAGCGAATTCAATCTTGGGTATAACTGGAAATGTATCTAGGTTTTCTTACAATGCATGTTTATGTCTTCACCCAATGTCAATGCATGATGTCTATACATAATAATCTAATCGAATTAAAGTGTGGGAGAGCCATGCTTCGGCAGGATGGGCCGGCTCGACCGGAGTGGTACCACGGCCTCACAGAACACCGACGTGAAACAACATGTGTTGTGTTTCGTCGTGTGAGTGAGGTTACCGGAGGCCCAATTAGGCCCGGAGGCTCTTCCCATGGGCGTCCCGGTGCATGAGGTTACAATAAGAACCGAGTAAGGACTCGTACATAAAACTGCAATACGATGCGATGCGAATTTGCAACGTAAAAAATTTCGATGCGAATTGCTGCGACAAGGCTGTTATTGTTTAGGAAAGACAGGAAAAAGATAAAGGAGGAAGCAGGAGGAAGATAAGATTTTAATGCAAGATGCGAATCAATTCGCAAGTTCTTGCGATGCGCAGAGGGAGCTCTCACATTTTTGCGATGCGACGTCGCATCCCAGTTTTGTGTACGAGCCCTAAAGGACTACGCATTTGGCAAAGTCCGGGAACCAATGCTTTGCTGATAAATCTTCAACCAGCTTGATGCCACGTGTGTAGATTATGGCAAACGACTTTGAATTGACGAATTGAATTGTCTATTGGACGGTCATTAAATCTATTTCATCATCTTTCGCTCCTATTCGTCAGCTCGTTTCCTTCTTATTCAATAAAAAATATCTATACGTGAATACTTTGTTAAAAGGGGGACACAATCTTAAAATCTCATGTCAGCTCGGAACATGTTGGCTAGATGGTGAAGGACTCCAAAATGTCTGCATCGATTTAAGTGAAAACAATTTCATAGCTCTAATGCCAAAAATCAATATCAATTTAAAGATTGAGAAGAAGACTATAGTTCCTTCGACTTCTCATTTTTTTTTATTTAATTTTAGAACTGGACATGATATTTTTTCTATAATTTTTATTTACTATTTATGCATTTCTAGTTTCTCAACACCACAGGTGCGGTGCTGATTATGTAAAGTGTATTTTAATTTGTATTGTACGTACCTACTCCTAAATAGCTTGATCGATATAGATAACATTTTTGGACATCTATAGACTTGCACTGGATCTTGATTAGTTTTGTTTATTTATAGTTATCGGACTACCGGTACCGGTACCGTTAACGACTGCTTTGCAAAAGAGATGGGGTTGTATCTCCAAATTCGAAATAGTATTTCTATCTGTTTCCTCATTGCAAACCAATTCCATGTTATTACTAAGAATTATGTGAACCGAAATAACGAAAAATTTGTTGACCCGTCCCGGGAATCCAATACAAACCTCTATCGCTCTAACAGCTAAACTCTGCGGCTAACGGGGCAGATATATCCTAAAAGCAACCATCTATACAATCATTGATGAGCATTTTATTCTGCTAGATTACCTGATGTCTATCTTTCTTTTTCCAGGAGAACCAAAGGTGTGATAGGTCCAGTGCAGGACCAGGGTCTTTGCGGAGCATGCTGGGCGTTCAGCACCGTCGGCACCATTGAAGCCATGGCCGCCATCAAGACAGGCAAGCTGGACAAACTTAGTGTGCAAGTATGTTTTCATTAAAAAAACTATTTCAGTTTTAAATATTTTCGCGTCTTCCATAGATAATTTTCATTAAACTGCGTTTAAAATATTAACCTCCTTACTTAAGTCGGTAACTAATAAAGTCGGTGAGTCGGCCTACCTGCTCCTAAATGTAACAAACATCCAACACCGATGGAGCCCAGCAGGGCTGATGCCACATACGGAGCCGCGGAAGGCCTAACGGGTAACGGCTCGAACAGCAGTAGTAGGAACGGGGTGATTTTTAGTCAGTAAGAGTCTGACACACGCCCTTGCCTTACCATTGGATGATTTCCCCCCTCAAAAAAGTGTAACAAACACTTTTCTGTAAACCGCATCAAATTCGGTTCAGCCGATCGCGAGATAATCGCGGACAAACATGCATACATACAATTGAAACTGAGGACTTCCTTCTTCTTTTTGAAGTCGGTTAATAAAATGAAACCAAATGACTGGTCAGCTACCGATTTCCAAATCAGACAGGAAGCCATAAAATTATTGTCTATGTAGTTGCAAGCCCATAAATCATAGATATATACCGCCATAAATCATAGATATACACCGCCATAAATCGACATTAAACTGTCAAACACCAAGCGGTCACCGGTGACCGCGACCTATTGTTCTTTAATTGTGTCTATAAAACCGGTACTCGACGAGTTAAATGTCATCTTAAACTATTTTATGGGACTTATTGTTATCGGCTATACTTATTATACTCTTTGGTTATCGGACAGCTAAGAGAACATACCATTTTATTTTCTACTTTAATGTCATGTATTTATTTATTTTTATTATTGAGTACCAAAGAGTATAATAAGTAATGAGTACCTTTGAGTACCTACCGTCATTATAGACACAATTAAAGAACAATAGGTTGCGGTCACCGGTGTCCTCGCGGTATTTGACAGTTTAATTAATAATTCTTGTGAACACAAACAGTACAGAGGATAACACTTTTATAAAATTAAAGGATATATGTGCTACTTATTCCTGTTAGAATTCTTCCAGTAGATCTGAGACAGGAAAAGTAATTTAAACAATGTATGTTAGGACTGTGATTTTCTTAATACTTTATTAATATTGGTATTTAGTAATAGAGGGATTAAGATTATTTGACAAACGGTGAAGGAAAAACATCGTGAGGAAACCTGGACTTATAATTTCTAATTATAAGTTAGAAATCGCCAACCCGCATTGAGCAAGCGTGGTGATTAATGCTGAAACCTTCTCCGTGTTAGAAGAGGCTTTACTCAGCAGTGGGCATTTATAGGCTGTTGATGATATGTAATAGAGGGTGATCCTATTGCCATACACCAGTCACAGCTCCAGACTCCGTACTATTGCTATGCATTTTTTCTAAAAAAACCTGATAATATATTGCCCGCCCCTGTAATCGAACCCGACACCCTTGATTGTCCACCGTTCTGACGGCCAATCTACCATCGATACAGTGTAACGAAATATGCTTATTTAAATACATGACTTTCATGAAAACATTTCAAAAAATTACAGGAGGTAATAGACTGCGCAGGTTTGGGCAACAGTGGGTGCGCAGGCGGCGATATCTGCCTGCTCCTTGATTGGCTGGTGATGACTGATGCTGTGGTTGAGAAGGAAGCGGAGTATCCTCTCCGTCTCACTGACGGAGCTTGCAAAGCTAAGAAAAATACCACCGGAGTCAAAGTCAAGACTTTTACGTGTGATGAGTGAGTTTGGACCTTATTTCTTGAACTGTAGATTTCTAATTAGATTGGTGTTTTTCTCAAAAGGAGCTAATGAATTACCTTTTTTAATTTTAGTGTTGGTTTTGACATGTAAATCTTTTTGAGTCTTGCTTTTTACATAACATAACATCACGCCTTTTATCCCCGAAGGGGTAGGCAGAGGTGCACATTATGCCACTGTAAAATGGAACACCCACTTTTCACTATTTATGTTATGAGTCCCATGTAATGAGTCTATTGCCATATAACGGGCACAATTTCAGGCTCCGTGCTACTACTAAAAATTTTTCTTTAAAAACCCAGTAATTCTTTTCCCGACCCGGGAATCGAACCCGAGACCCCTTGCCTTGCGACAACTCGGCCAACGAGGCAGTCTTGCTTTTTAATTTGGAATTAAGTTCAATATTGGTATTAATTGTTCTGTTGATAAAATTATTTTAATGTGATTAAGTAAGATTAAATCATTTAACTGAGTACAACTACAGATCGAGTAACTTTAAAACGATACTAGCTCCACTAGTCATGCAAATAATCTTTGAAAAGATCCTCTTTTGTAAATTTTTTACTAAAATATTTCCAGTTTCGTGGGTGCTGAAGACCAGATCCTAAGCGCCCTGGCGACGCATGGACCGGTCACGGTGGCTGTCAATGCTCTCACCTGGCAACACTACCTCGGCGGAGTTATACAGTTCCATTGCGGGTATGTTCATTATTAATTATAAATATTTATATGAAATCCATCTTAGGAGGCTGGCGTTAAGTGGATGGATCAAGGGTCTGATACAGAAGGCAGTTCTCATAGAAACGGCGCGCATTGTGAGGAGGTTTCTGTCTCTGGAGCCCTAACCACCGGTAGCTTGGACCATGCTCCTGCTATTGGTCGGCTCCTATTTTTTATATTTTTAAATATTATTTTTTATTGTAATTTGTAGAGAATTTTAAATAAATATATGTAAATAAATATTTAATTTGCATAGACATAATCAGGTAGCTAAGATAATCCATCAGCAACTTGCTTTACCCTATCGACTTCCTGAGGTACCGTACTACAAGTATGTGCCAGACCCAGTTCTGGAAAATGACCATATAACATTGTACTGGGACCGGTCTATCATTACTGACAGGACTATTGTAGCCAATAAACCTGAAATAGTAGTGATAGACCGACAAGTACGCCGCACGATGATAATCGATGTCACCATTCCCTATGACGATAACATCGTGAAAGCTGAGATAATACTCTTTACTAAAAAGCCAAATTTTCTATTACAGCGGCTCACCAATGGAACTGAATCACGCAGTTGAATTAGTTGGCTACGATTTATCAGCCGATGTTCCCTTCTACATAGCCAAAAACTCATGGGGCAAAGATTTTGGCAATGCCGGGTACTTGAATCTGGCTATTGGCACAAATATCTGTGGACTGGCAAACGAAGTGGCTACCGTAGACGTGGTCTAAACAGTGAGATGTTTTTGAGACATTTTTTGTGTAGTTAGATAGTAATTTTGATAGTCAATTGTGTATAAAGTTTTAGTTTAATGTTAATAATTGTGGCCTTTGTAGGGTGTAAATGGAATGCTCCCAAAATACTGACAAAAATAAATTGTATTTACAATACAGAGGTCTTAGTACGAGTTTCGTCGTAACGAGTACGCGTTCGGCACTCTGAGGCTTTAGTAAAGTAAGGCCTCTGATTGGCCGGCGCCAATGAAGCAACCAATCAGAGCGCCGAACGCGTACTCGTTACGATTACTTTAAACGTAAAACAAACTCGTACTAAGGCTACAGTACTTGCCAACTAGTCAAATTCAATACTTTTTTCGAACTGTCAACAATGACAGTTTTCTATGAATTTTTTACGAGATCGTGTATTGTGACGTCACGTTTTTGTAGGGCCAAACAGCATACTTATTTCTTGAAAATTTGCTGGATAAATATTAATATTAAGTTGGTCATGAAAGCAATTAATGAAAGTGTGTATTTTTTAATATTTCATTGTACTGAACAGTCGAAATAATTTATTTTTGAATTAACTAAAAAATCGCGGGTTACTAACGTGAATATACTGAGAAAAGCTCTACTAGTTTCGAACTACAAAGGGGTTCTTCCTCATGAGCAGCGTGCGTGGTCACGTCGGTGTCGCGCAGCCTACCGCCAATTTTAATCGTTTGCGTTTTTTTTTGTGTTTTATGCAACATCAGCATTGAGCAGTTGACTACAACTATCCTTACTAATATTATAAATCGGAAAGTGAGTTTGTTTGTTTGTTCCGACTTCACGCCGTAACTACTTAACCGATTGCTTTGAATTTTTGCAGACGTAAAGTTAGTAGTCTGGATTAAGTAACAGGGTACTTTTTATCACAGAAAAAATTGATATTCCCGAGGGAAAATAAAAGTATTGGTATAGATGGCGCTGTATGTATTGGTATATGTCACATAGGCTACTTTTTATCCTTTTGTGACGCGAGCGAAGCCGCTGGTAAAAGCTAGTTATTACATAAAAGAAACATTTAATTCATTACTTTTATAAAAATAAACCTTGTGTTCTACCTTTCAGTGTTTATCGGGAACTTTCCATTTACACTCTGTATAATAAATCTAAGTAGTTTGGTAAATTAATAGATAAGCCATGCCATTATCAATTATAAGCAATTTTTAACTATTGTTGTATTATAAATTATAGTTAGAGATAAAATTAATTATGTTGTACGGCTTACTCGTAACGCTCATTGTGTAGGCCCTACCATGGCTTGAATATAGTCGAGTATACTTGTCAATAAGTTATGTGAGGGAACTGTATGATATAATTAATTAGTTTTTAAATCATAGTGCAAAATATATGCATATAAGTTTTTGGTTAATATTTTTTTTTATAAATGTAGATAATTGTTAGTTTAATTAGTGTTTAAGTAGTTTTTAATGATCTTAATTCGAATTTAAGTGTCTACTCGATTTGATGGCAAATGTTATAACAAAATGAAATACAATTGCTGAAAGGTATTATGGTATAATATTTTCTCTCAGTGTTTGTTTTCTTCCAACTTTTTATTGTAGCCGACTGCCTCATTGGCCGAGTGGTCGCAAGTGCGACTGCCGGTCAAGGGGTCTCGGGTTCGGTTCCCGGGTCGGGCAAAGTATTACTGGGTTTAAAAAAATCTCAGTGATAGCACGGAGCCTGGAATTAGGCCCGGTATATGGGCTGGCCCCCTATTACATGGGACTCATAACATAAATAGTGGAAAGTGGGCGTTACATTGCACAGTGGCACTAAGTGCCGCAATATGCACCTCTGCCTACCCCTTTGGGGATAAAAAGGTGTGATGTTGTGTTATGTTATGTTTTTTATTGTTGTTACATTTGCCTGATTGAATGCCCAAATACTGAAACATTACTTAGTTCTAAGTCGCTCTTAGATATAATTCTGTCTCTACAAATTCTTTGTAAAATGACAGAGATGGCACGATATTTAAGTACGATTTAAAATTGTGTAGCCTTTCAGTATTCGGGCGTTCAAAAATCAAGAGTAAGACATAATTAGTGATAAGTAAAAAAATATTATTATTCTTACGTAGGTAATAATAATATGAGCCATTTAACACAGGGTATGAAACAGGGCATTCTATGACAATAGTGTTCATTTTGCCTTGTCAGTAGTGTAGACATAATAAAAATACTCCTTAGTCTATTTGCAGTCGTGCCTTCTTGCGTAAACAGGTTAAAAAATCATATTTGGTCCATCGGACCATTATAACTCATGTTCGGCGACAAATAGTCTGTGAATCTCACGACACTGTTTCAATTAACTAAAATCGCGGGTTACTCACGTGAATATACTGAGAAAAGCTCTACTAGTTTCGAACCACAGAGGGGTTCTTCCTCATGAGCAGCGTGCACGGTCGCGGCGATGTCGCGCAGCTCACGGATATAAACGGAACGGATTTTAAAATTGTAACATTGTCGATTTTATTTTGCCGATTTATCAGACTGCAGGAATTCAGTATTTATCCCGATTATGCTCCCATGGGACAAAACAGGAATCATATTCTACGCGGACGAAGTCGCGGGTAACAGCTAGTTATTCATAAGTCTCTTTTTCTAAGCGCCATAATAAATAAAGTGTTTAAATAACAAATACCTCTTATGGATTTAATAGGGAAGTTACATTCAAAGGCGAACCTTCAATTGCGTATCTTTTTAATTTTAGTTACTTCTAGAATAAATAATGCCATTTTTTTAAAACTAAATACTTGGTACTTTTTAATTGTTATTTTTGATATTTTTTGTTAATAAAATTTTATTACTGTTATTTTTTCAAAACACACAAGTACAAATAATTCATTTACCTACCATTAAGTAAATATTTTCAATTTTTGTATAAAAAGTTTTAACTCATCTTAAATAATAAAATTTTATGAGATATTTACAACAAAATGTCAATTTTTAGAGTTAATAATGTTAAGATTTTAAAATAATTCTCGATTATACTCGAAAACTAAACTTACGTTAGTTTTTATACTGTTTTAGTTTATTTTATTATACATATGTCGTATAATTACTAACTGCCATAATTTAGTGGTTGATAACTAGTCCATATCTTTGTGTATGTAAGCATCGACATATAATAATGGACATGCCGTACGCGTATAATCTGCAGTAATTTTTTGGCCTGAAAAGAGTGAGAGAGATGGCTTATGCTTTCGGTCTAGCGCTATCTCTTTCTCGCTTATAACGTCTTAACTACGGTACTATTTTGAGAGAGATAAAGATAGACCGAAACTTCGTTTCCTCTATTTCTTTCGGAGTGCCACAATTCTCATCTCTAAGGCATGTCCATTAGTATATTATGTCGATGTATGTAAGTATATCTTTACTATATTGTCGAAAACAGTTTTACCAATTTCGATGAAATGTGATGAGCTTACGGCTTTTTACTCACCAGATGGCGCTCAAGTAGTATTAAGGTCTATTTTCTAATCATGGTAGTTATCAAAAATTAAATGTGTAATGATTTTAGCCTTTGCAGGTCGATACAATTTATTTTTGAGTTTAGGAAGTATCCAATTCTCGTTATGCTAAACGGGACTTTATGCTGTACTAGCGCCGTTTGGTTTTTAGTCAGTAAGAGTCTAACACTCCCTCCCGTCTAACACAGGTGGGAGAAGTCATTCGATGATTTACCCCCTAATAAAAAGCGCCGTTTGGTGATCAAAAAATGGTAACCCATATTATTGTTTTACAAAAAAAATGCAATTGGAATGTTTAAAAGATGATGTGTAGTCCAAAAAAGGACTTTAAACTTAGCAGAACAAAGAATATTTTTAACTGTCTCAAATTGTTAAATTGATGTTTAAGCATTGGTACTTTGAAATACTCATAATTTAAAAAAATAAATGGTGTTGGGTTATATTGGTGTGTTTCTTTTATATGATATAGCAATATTTTATGTCCTTTAAACTGTCAAACACCAAGCGGTCACCGGTGACCGCGACCCATTGTTCTTTAATTGTGTCTATAAAACCGGTACTCGACGAGTTAAAGGTACAATGAGCAGTAGATCAACCCACTCCTCCTATTCTGTCAAATTTATTCATTTTTTTACATATACATACATACATAACTGCACGCCTGTCTCCAAAGGGGGTGATAGAGACTAAGGAACGCCAATTACTACGATTCCTACATACCTCCTTCGCTTCATCAACAGTCATCAATCTTTTCATGCATGCTCGTCGGTTATTAATTTTTGACACTTTCAAACAAATGTACTATGAAATATAGAGTAATAAGTGAAAATAGAAACCACGGCTTAACTCGTCGAGTACCGGTTTTATAGACACAATTAAAGAACAATAGGTCGCGGTCACCGGTGACCGCTTGGTGTTGTTTGACAGATTAAATACAAACAAATTCAACAACAGAAAGCAAAACAAGATTGAAAAGGGAATGTTACGCTTGTTTGGACATGTAGAAAGGATGGATGAAAGTAGAATAACGAATAAAGTATACAAAGAGTATATAAATGGGGCTGTCGGTAGAGGGCGCCCTAGACAGACGGACATATAATGACCAGGGTGCTTACTCTTGAAACCAATCTTAATGTCAATGCAAATTCAATCCAATAAAAACTCAATAATTATTCAATGTCAAAACTATACAACCCCTACCGTAGCTGTTAATAGCATTCAGAGTACGGAATATAAAGCCAAACTCAATACCATTTATTTCCTTCAATATCCACGCAATACGGATGCAATGGGCGCTAGTGTTGAAACTCAAGAATACGAAATATTACAATATCAATGTCGATCGATCGGAATTGGATTCAAGAGTAAGCCCCCAGATTGGAGAGAAGGGCCAAATTAAAAGTACCCTTAACCAACGAGCATGCATGAAACGATTGATGACTGAAGCGAAAGAGGTATGTCGGAATCGTAGCATTTGGTATTCGATAGTCTCTGCCTACCTGCTGGGAGACAGGCGTGAAGTTATGTATGTAAAGTAAAACACTCGAATTAAAAACCTATTTGAAAGTTGGTTAAAAACTAAAAATGTACATAAAACCCTGTTGAACTATTTAGTGCCCCGTTGAATGAGTCAGTTAAGGATTGAGGAAATACTAACAATATAAATATTTTGATACTAACACAGGAAAAGTATTTAAATCATGCCATGTTAGTTACAACATAATTATTGTCCCCAATACTTGTGTGTGTTCACATCTCATAAACTACTAAAGAGTTTTTGATACAATTATCAATAGTTGTAGTTTGATTTCAGAAATGAATAATAACATCATATTGTTTGTAGTGTTCTTATTTTCTTCTTTATTTATTGTTATTGAATTATGGGCTTTTATGCATACGTATAATAGTTTTAAAGTGAATCTGAAGGAAGGGATTGAAGTTTTAGACCAAAGAAGGTTGAAATTTCAGAAATATTTAAAAGATTTCAACAAAAGTTATGAAGATGATGAGCATGAACGACGTTTTGAGAATTTTAAGGTGAGTTTATGTATTTTTTTAAAATAGAATAATTATGTTTTATGTTAGTATAGTACTCATTACCTAAGTGACCTTATTTTTTCCTTGCAAATGGAATAATTTATGTTTTATTTTAGCCTACGTACCTATTCATTACCTGAGCGTTATTTTTCCTTGCTTTTACATGGGAATTGTAATATTACTAGCTAATGTGTGTTATGTCCATACGGCTATATAAATCTAGTATAACATGGCCTCGCTCTGTACCTACTATATTTGCGCACATCCCCCAGTCCACTTATACTGGTTTTGCATAGCTTTATCAGTAGCCGTGTGTACATCTAATAAGAACTTTTATTAGAGGACATTATAAACGTTATATACATTTATTTATTACTTACATATCTCCATTCCAATCTAAAATTTGGAATGAGCACCTAGCTTCACCTAGCTTCACTGACGGACTGACTGACAGACTATTATTTAGTTTGTATTTGTTGACGTTTCAAAAGTACCAAATTATGGTTTAATTTACGGTGATCGAAGAGCTGGCTACTACCTTGGACAAAGGTTAAGTATTGCCATTCAACGTGCCAATGCTGGCAGTCTTTTGGGCACCCTACCTCACGATAGCGATGCGAAAAAAAATTTTTTTTTGATACCTTATGATAGCATTTCTTTTTTAAGGTGTAAATATTTTAGTTCATAGTTATTTATATTTTAAGTTGTATATATTTTCTTTTAGTAATAGTAATTTAATTAATTATGAACCCTATTGAAATAAATAGTTTGACTTTGAGTTTTTAATTGTTCTACAGGCCTCCTTAAAGGACATAGCTAGGTTAAACAAGCTAGAAGGAAGAAAAGTATTTGGTTTGACAAAATTCTCTGATATGTCGAAAGAGGAGTTTGTTGAACGTATGCTCTTAAAGCCTATTGGCCATCCCTGCGTTAGTAAGTACTTAAATTGTACAAAGACTGAACGTGAGTCATTGAGCGAAGATGGAGTACGGTTCGTGGATAGGTATGATGATAAAGAACCACCCGAGAGTTTTGATTGGTGAGTCTATAAGATATTATTTTATGTATGTATATAGCATATATACGGGCTAATAACCCGAGGGAAATCAAGCTATTGCGCTCGGGTCATTTTACTTTGGCTAAGCACTGGTCTTTATGCGCCGTTTTCACTATTTTTCGTGTTGTACTTTATAACGGTGCCAATAAACTGGTTTTCATTCTTTCTTTCTTATTATTTTTTATCTATTTTACTGGGATTTAGGTATAACTACAACTAAATTAAGTCGCGAGTACGTTTCCTCGTCATCATGATGGCTCGAAATTATACCAAAATCTCTAAACTGATGTCTATTTTTGACAGAAACTCGCTATAAACTGATATCAAAAATCGATCTTAGAGCCCCTTCATAATAGCGTTTGTCCAATGGCGTTCGATCAACGTATGCGACGCGCAGACGCCGCGTTGGCGGTGCGTAGTCGCGGCGTCAGTGTAATTTAGTGAATGAATACACGGCGTTAGCACCGCTAAAACTGCATATTCTTTTCCTCTTCCATTGGTGCTGGACAAACGCTAGTTTACATGCTACAAGACACTTACTGCTGAACATAGGTCTCTCTCAATAACTTCTAGATCCACCGGTGGGAAGCAATTGCATGCATTGCAGTCAATTGTGTATGTGCCTTACAATGAAAATGTTTATGAAACGCTGTTACAGGCGAAACACAAAGGGTGTCGTTAATGAAATATTGAATCAGAAGCGATGTCGTGGCTGCTGGGCGTTCTCCATCGTTGGTGTTATAGAGTCAATGTCTGTTATACTAAAAAATGATCACGAACATCGAAGCATACAGGTAGAATACTATTACAATGTGTGGTAAGCCCATTGTACTCAAATTACTATTACAATACTAACATTTTATTTCTGTGTGTTCAAAAAAGTATAAATAACATTACATAACATAACATCACGCCTTTTATCCCCAAAGGGGTAGGCAGAGGTGCAAATTACGGCACTTAATACGCTGTACAATGTACAAACACCCACTTTTCACTATTTATGTTATGAGTCCCATGTATTAAGGAGGTAAGCCTATTGCAATATACCGGGCACAATTCCAGACTCCGAGCTACTACTGAGAATTTTAAAGCAATGACTTTAATCTTCATCAACAGCCTATAAATGCCCACTGCTGAGCAAAGCCTCTTCTCACACGGAGAAGGTTTGAGCATTAATCACCACGCTTGCTCAATGCGGGTTGGCGATTACAAACTTATAATTAGAAATTATAAGTCCAGGTTTCCTCACGATGTTTTTCTTCACCGTTTGTCAGTGGTGTCTGAATAATCTTAGAAAGTACATATAACTCGGAAAAAGTCACATTGGTAGGTACTTGCCGTTGGTAGGTTTCGAACCCGCACCCTCATGCATGAGAAGCGGGCGTCTTAAACCTCCGGGCCACCACGACATTACGACGACTTTCGACGACACGACTTTAATCTTAATTATATGTTATTAGGAGCTCCTAGATTGTTCAGAATACAACAACGGTTGCGATGGAGGAAGTGTCAGTAAAGCTATGGACTACACATGTATCCATCACATGCCGTTTGTGCCTGATCAGGAGTATCCGCTCACGTTGGCCGTGAAAAGAATTTGCAAGCTACCTGTTAACGCCACCGGTAGACGGGTTCAGGAATATGCATATCAATGGTATTATTTTTATTATTTAAATACCATAATTTTTCATATAGGTACCTACTTAAGAAAATAAAGATCTTTGAAAATAAGAGAGAATTGCCTCTGTTCAGGGAAAGTAACTGTAGTGTGTTTTTTAACGAAAGTAAAATCTCTTGTTCTCTGTCAAACACCGCGAGGACGACGGTACTCAAAGGGTTAATTAATCTTTTTCTTTATGGGATAAACGGGGCAAACGATTAGATGAATCGCCTGATGGTAAGTGATCAGCACCTCCCATGGACAACTGCAACAACAGGAGTTCCAAGTGTATTATTCCATTTGGGGATAAAGATTTGAGAATTGAAGATTCGGGGATGGGGAATCGGGCCTCCGATAACCTCACTCACACGACGAAACACAACTCAAGCGTTGTTTTTCGTTGGTTTTCTGTGAGGCCGTGGTATCACTCCGGTCGAGCCGCGCGACGCGGTCGAAGCATGACTCTCTTACATTTACATTGTACATTTTAAAAATGCTATGAAAATGTGTGTTGGTATTACAGCAACCTCGATGAAAATAAAATGGTTAAGCAGGTGGCCTTCCACGGGCCCCTGGTGGTAGCCGTCGATGCAACCAACTGGCTGAACTATATCGGAGGAGTTATAACGAGGGCTTGTTGGTATGTGGATTAAAATCTAATAAAATAATAATATTTTTGATTCATTGCTTGCTTTTTGTTAACTTGCAATGTGTGTATGTGTGTGTATGAAGTGAAATCTTGCAACTGAATTTTGAAGCAGATATCTTTAACCGATTGAGCTGGAATTTTGTATACGCGTTTCGTTTGTATGACTACGAACTCATTCATCTAATCAATTAACCCGAGCGTACGGCGCGTCGCGTCCCGCGCGCGCCTCAAAGAGCCATCAGACCACCACAGATGGGGCCCAATAGGGCCGATGCCGATTCGGAGTCGCGGAGAACCTAACGGGTAACCGGGGCTCCGGCTCGACGTGCAGGAGAAGGAACGGGGTGGTTTTTAGTCAGTAAGAGGCTGACACTCCCTCCCGCCTCACCCAGGCGGGAGCAGTCATTCGATGATTTTCCCCCCTTAAAAAAAAAAATCTAATCAATGACCCTACTAATGACTACTTTTTATTTGAAATATTGAAATATCTACAATAGTTGACAGGTAGTCAATACTTCAAATTCAATACTTTTATTGAAATGCCAAAAACGATACTTTTCTATGAATTTTGTATTGGATCGCAACTTATGACGTCATCATATCTGCGTCAAATAGCATACTATTTCCTTAAAATTAGCGAGAAAAAATCCATAAGTAGGTAAATTGTCAAATCAATGGATGAGAGTATGATTATTTTTTAATTATTTATTGCATGGAAAATTTGAAACAATTTATTTCAAACCTAGGAAACTAGCCAATTCAAATCTGAAATGAAAATATGAAATTTTCACATTTATAATATTACTAGGATACTATACTAAGACTAAGATGATTTACATAACATAACATCACGCCTTTTTATCCCCGAAGGGATAGGCAGAGGTGCACATTTCGGCACTTAATGCCACTGTACAATGTAACACCCACTTTTCACTATTTATGTTATGAGTCCCATGTAATAGGGAGTGAGCCTATTGCCATATACCGGACACATTTTTCCAGACACCGTGCTACTACTGAGATTTTTAAAAACCCAGTAATACTTTGCCCGACCCGGGAATCGAACCCGGGACCCCTTGCCCGGCAGTCGCACTTGCGACCACTCGGCCAATGAGGCAGTAAGATGATTTATTTATTGGAAAAGAAAGGTATAAAAACCAATAGATATATGATGTTACGTTATTTGTATCCACAGGCCTGGTATCGGGAATCATGTAGTGCAGTTAATCGGATACGTTGGTTATGGTACCCACAATGAATCTGTCATTCCTCACTACATTTTGAAGAATTCGTACGGTGAAGATTTTGGTGAAAATGGCTACGTTAAAATTGCTATGCACAAAAATACATGTGGGATTAGGGACGAGGTTACTATGTTAAGTGTGTATTAAACGTAATTCTGGTAGAAATTTACATTTAATGTTGATATTAATTCGTTCCCTAATCACAATCTTTGGGTTACTATTGATTTTTTAATTTTTGTGTTAGTATTTGTATTTTTTTTGTAACTATCGTGAGATATGTAATAAATAATGTCGATAGTTTCACGCAAAATTTTTTAAAACACACCGATTTACCCACGTAAAATATTGAGAAAAGCTCTACCAGTTTCGAGTTACAATGGGACTCTTCCTCATGAGCAGCGTGCGGACGCAGTAAGACTTACTCATGTGCGGGTGCGGCGAATAAATCGATATTTTTAATTAATTTTGACTTTTATCTCCTCGGTGTAAAAAAAATTGGAAATAATAAATTAAACTTGTTATTTTTTATCTAGGTTTTTCATTTATATCCTTTCTGAATACACGATTTATGCCTTAGGTAAATTATTTAATTATAGATACCCTCTGCCCTATCTATATTATAAGATGTCCCCTTTGCAAATACGGGGCCCTACAAGTTCTTTGTCCAGCCTATTTATAGAACTAAACAGCTGTGATTTACTTATTTATGTCTCTGTGTTTACCTGATTTGTTTTTTTTTTACAATATTATTTCCTTTTAAGTTTGCCTGCCTATTTTTTTTTCAACACAGAACACTTATTTTCTTGCTATTTTTAACTCAGAAATGAATTAGTTTTCAAGTACCTATCTAACTACTAAATTACCTACAGTTTACACTTTATCTAATGAATCAATTTTTAATAAACCTTTTTTTATTTACTGTTATATAACTAATATAGTTAATTTTAAGTTGTATACTGTTATGTTTATACATAATTATGTTATTTAAGTTTATTATTTGTAAATAAAACCATTGGTCACTACTTATTTATGAATATGAAATATTTATTACAAAAATTGAAAGTTACCATTTGATTTTGATTGATACCTTTGCACTGGAAGTGCTATATCTTAGACTATTTAAATTTTAATTAACTTTACAAATACAAAGTTATTAATGCGCTTCAAGATGACACCAGTATCTTTATCATGAGTATATTTAATTCAGACTTTTATTACTTACAATTTCGCCTATATGAACTGATAAGTTTGTAAAACACATTATCACTCGACGCCAGTTTAACTAGGTCTATCTGAACAGCGTGCAATTGTATCGCTGTCTCTATCACTCGAATAAGTTTATACTATTGTCATTTCTTTCTTGCAAAACTTCAGAGGGGTCAAGCTTTATTGGTTATGGTGTACACTTGATTGATAAAAGCAAATAAATAAATGAGTTCAGTTCAGTTTACAACAACGCGCTGTGTCGACAGTACCGCTGTAATCTTTAGGTAAGTACGTAACAACTTTTATTATTTTATTTTCATGCTATCTGACCACTTTTGAACAGTAATTATTAATGATAATGTTAGATAAACATGGAGTATTTATTCATATGTAGTTTTACATAAATATCGTTTGTTATTTTACTGTTGATAATGTGTGAGAATGGGAACAATAGCAGAATGGAGTGGTTTTATTGTTGATAGCATTTTAAAGTGTTTATTTGTTTGCGAAGTAATTTTGCGATATTCCATCTTGACTTGATTTTATCTTCAATATTGTAGATATTACTGATAAGTATTGTAGGTAATTAGGGAATTTTTTTGTAAGCAATTTTTAATTTACAATTGTAAAATTATCTTAATAGTAATTACCTAGATTAACGAACCTCATTTCAGGGGATTTAGAGCTTCGACTACTTAGTACACAAATAAGGGTATTTTTAAAGGGTCCAGTCCCAAAAACCCCAAGCGAAAAGGAAACTTTTTTTTAACATAACATAACATCACGCCTTTTATCCTCGAAAGGGTAGGCAGAGGTGCACATTATACCACTGTACCTACAATGTACCACCCAATTTTCACTATTTATGTTATGAGTCCCATGTAATAGGGGGTGAGCCTATTGCCATATACCGGGCACAGTTCCAGACTCCGTGCTACTACTCAGAATTTAAAAAAAAACCCAGTAATACTTTGCCCTGCCCGGGAATCGAACCCGAGACCCCTTGCCCGGCAGTCGCAATTGCGAACACTCGGCCAACGAGGCAGTCTATTAATTTTTTTTCTTCTATAAATAAATCTACTGATTCATTTTGTCGCGGGATCCAAGGGTCTTCATGTCCCTGGGTCGCACCAAGGGTGTTTTATATAGATACCAATTCTAGATCCTGGCTTACAGGAGTCTCAGAAGTTGAGAAATGAAGGCAGCTTTATCTTAAAAAGCAAAATATCCCCTAACCTAGTCCTTATGACTGCAAGGTTGGTGCGGTGGCCGGGTAAGCTAAGGCTACTACGCAACGTGTAACGGGTTCGATTCCCGCACGAATCAACTCTTTGTGTGATCCACAATTGGTGTTTCGTGTTATTTATAAACGCATACATGACACAGGAGAACATCCTAGTGTGGGGACGTTGCCTCACACTAGGATGTTCTCCTGTGTGTGTGTGTCATTTAAAAAATATATAAAGAAAATAATGAGAAATAAGTCATTGTTTAGATATTGACTCTTGTATTCTTACGGCAACCAAATAAATAATATTTTCTATATCTTCAAATACTTGCAGCAATGGTGACTGTAGAAACTGTAGACTTTGGGGTGCACAAGGGGAAGACGGTGAAGAAGATAACTTGGCGGACCAGTTCAGGGGCTGAGGTCTCCGTCATATCTTATGGAGCTATCGTCCAGTCGATAAAGGTATGTGTTTTATCTCTGTACTTAATAAAATACTGTTTTAAATGGCCTTTTAATCACCCAAGGTGTAGTCCACAATTGCTCATATACCTGCTACGCAACACTTAATGTTTCACCTGTTGAGTCGTTTGTAGTAGAATATGAACTTAATGCCATACACCGGGCACAATTCGTCAACAGCCCCGTAATTTTTATTGAATACCGGAGGCCCAGGATGTCCTTTAGTCTAGGGCCCCATTACGGTTTACGAAGCCGCGGAAGACTTAACGGGTTGCCGGGGCTCCGGCTCGAAGTGCAGGAGTAGGAACGGGGTGGTTTTTAGTCAGTAAGAGTCTGACACTCCCTCCCGCCTCACCCGGGCGGGAGAAGTCATTGCATGATTTTCCCCCCTCAAAAAAAAGGGCCCCATTACGGTTCCGTTCGGCCCTGTACTTTGTTAAAGTGCACACGAGTTACATAACATAACATCACGCCTTTTATCCTCGAAGGGGTAGGCAGAGGTGCACATTATACCATTGCACAATGTAACACCCACTTTTCACTATTTATGTTAGGAGTCCCATGTAATAGGGGGTGAGCCTATTGCACACGAGTTAATGAGCTAAAATGTTACATTATGATTACCTACGTGTTTAAACAAAAGAAGGGTATTTATTCATTAGTCCCACTGTTTTATTTCTGTATGCGAAAACACTGTTTTTGCCTGTTATACGCTCACCCCCTATTACATGGGACTCATAACACAAATAGTGAAAAGTGGGTGTTACATCGTACAATGGCATTAAGTGCCGTAATATGCACCTACCCCTTCGGGGATAAAAGGCGTGATACTGTTTTCGCCAGTTATAGGTATTTAGAATTCCATATATTATGTAGGTAATGTTAATTTACAGCAGGAGTAGGAACGGAGTGGTTTTTAGTCAGTAAGAGTCTAACACTCCCTTTCCACCACACCCAAGGCGGGAGAAATCATTATGATTTTCTCTCCGCAAAAAATGCAATCGACTATCAAGTGGATAGAATTAATTTTACCACCTCAGCATATCAGTTTCGGAAACAGCAGTTAGGTATCAAGTACCATGATAGATACCTATACCTACCTAGATTTATCAGTGGTTTTGATATGAAAGTACATATATGACCAAATTGCGGTTAAAACAATTTTTATCTATGTAGTAGGTAATTAATTTAATTTTAGCGTACCTACCTAGGTACCTATGTTCTAAAACTTTTTTCTTTACTCGTACCTAGGTACTTGTATACATCTTAAGATCAGGGTTTTGAATAAATATAGACTATAAAATAAACCTTATTATCTTAATCATAGAATCGCTGAAAGCAACTGCAAGTCGAGTTCAAGTACATGATCCATTTGATTTTAACAGTATCTTTATATTTATTGAGCAACGCTTGAAGCTGAAAAGGCGTTCACTACAATTAACTCCCTTAAAATTTCAAGTCTGAATTATAACATTGTTGATGACACCTTCACTTAACGCATTGGCTGCCGTGTCGGACAATGTTGTCCGACGCTAGCGGAGGATTAGCCTTTAACAGTTTTTGTCTGCAGTTAAAGGCTTAAGAACAAAGAAACGGAGCCGCGGAAGACTTAACGGGTTGTCGGGGCTCTGGCTCGAAGTGCAGGAGTAGGAACGGGGTGGTTTTTAGTCAGTAAGAGTCTGACACTCCCTCCCGCCTCACTAAGGCGGGAGAAATTATTATATGATTTTCCCAACTTAAAAAACTAGCCTTTTTTCAGTTTATCGAACCTTCTATAACTCAAAAAAATGTTCCTTTTACAACAAATTGCTCTCCTTATAAAGATAAAAATTGCCTTATATACGACTACGCTATCAATTAGTAAAATACTTGTCTCAAAAAATATTTATTTTCAAAATTAAAAAGAAAAATCGTTAGTAGCTAAGTATATTTCCCAAACTCCAGGTGCCAGACAAGTTTGGGGTCAAAAAGGACATAGTTCTGGGTTTCGATGACCTTGAGGGTTACGTCAAGAGAAATACTCCATACCTCGGGGCTACCGTCGGCAGGTGCGCCAACCGCATCGGGAAGGCATCCTTTGAAATAGACGGAAAGACCTATAAGGTTGCTGCGAATGTTGGAAAAGACCATCTTCATGGTGGCATTGTGGGGTTTGATAAGGTAAGCACATTATGTTTTCTTAGCAACCGGCCACCGCGCAACGTGTAGCGGGCTTGAATCCCTCACGGAGCAATTCTTTGCGCGATCCACTAATGGTTGTTCCGGGTCGGGTGTCAGTGTACGTGAAATTGCCTTTTTGTAAACTCACATACGACACTGTAGGAAACCTTAGTGTGGGGCAACCATAGATATTATTATAATATTTTAAAATTACTGTGGGGGCACAGTAAAGAATATTAATATATTTTTTTTAATTATAAAAGTTTAAGCTTGCTTCTGGTGTGAAGATCTATTCTCTCTGTCTATCGAAACGCCAGGAGAGAGCGTTCGTAATTAAATATCCTTGTTGAAAATGAGAATAACTGTAAAATTATAGACCTAAAGACTAGCTTCTCAAAATTCCAGGTAGTATGGGAGACTACCCTACTGGGTACCAAAGTGGTGTTCACCTATTACTCCAAGGACTTGGAGGAAGGTTACCCTGGGGACCTGGTCACCAGCGTAACATACGAGGTGACGGACGATAACAAGTTACACGTCCAGTTCAAGGCAACCACTACAAAGAAAACCGTGGTTAACTTAACCAACCACTCGTACTTCAACTTGGCTGGTGATGATGCTGGTGCGCAGGAGTTGTACAATCACATGGTTTCCATTAACGCTGATAAGTAAGTATCTTGAAATTTTATTGATAGGGTAGTATTATCTAATAAGTTTTCTCCCGCCCTGGGTGTGGTGAAAGGGAGAGTGTCAGGATTTTGCTGATTCAAAGTCACTACGATCCAACTCCTGCTTCCACCCGTGGCCATGGTGACTTTTTTTTATTTTTTTTTATTTATTTATTCTCATAAATATATACATTATTATTAAATATACAAAAATCGCCAAACTGTTACCAGTTTGTTGGCGATAATGGCGCTCTTAAATATTATTTATTATGCACATATTATATTCTTTATATAATATTAGAAGTATTTTACATTAAATCTATTATATGTATTACCAATTATTATTGAATGACAAAAATATCATTAATTTTATTAATACTAATATCTTAATAAAACTATTTCTATTACATATGAGTATCTTATATTTTTAGGTAGTAGTTTTTAAGTCTTTTTTTAAATAAAGCATCACTTATGTTATCTTTGGACGCGTTTCTTATAAAATCTATGTTGTTAAATATTGTTGGAGTTAAATATCGCCTAGTCCTTTTACCATAATAATTTTTCACCTGAGGTATTACAAATTTTCCCTGCACAGCACTCCTAGTCTTATATTTGTGATTTATTGGCTCTTTGTGTTCATTTAAGTTGTATTGCTCCATGGCTATGAGGTAATCTACTTTATCATGCACTGGTATTATATTACAACATTTTAATAATTCTTCATAATTATGTTTATATTTTAACTTTACTTTTTTGCTAACAAGGTACTTACTCAGTCTAATTTGTAATTGTTTAATTAAATCTAAATGTGTTTTGAATGTTAGTCCGTAACTACTTAAACCATAGCCAATCAATGAGTCTGCAAGTGCGAAATATAAAACATATAACAGTTTCCTACTAACAAATCTACTGAGGTGAAAGAATTTACCCAGAATGGATTGCAGCTTACCACATACATCGTTAATATGTAATTTCCAATTTAAATTACTGTCTACTATTAATCCTAAATATTTATATTTGTCTACTATATCTATATTTGTACAAAGGCATCTATATTTATCACTATGTAAACATTCGTATGTATGACCGGTTATGTGTATTTGTGCTTGATTTTTATAGTTACTATAGGGAAAATATATATACATTAATTTAGTTTTAGCGAAATTTATGCCATTATCGTGTGCCCATTTAATAACATTTTCAAAGTCCACCTGCATGTGGTATTGTGCCTCTGCGGCGCTGTTGGACGAGTATAGCAGGCACATGTCGTCCGCGTACATAAACGTTGTGCAGTGCTTTATGACGTTGATGACACTGTTCACGTGCATTATGTACCCCACCGGGCCGAACACCGAGCCGGTCGGTACGCCGAGATTCACGCTTACCTCATCGCCGATGGTGCCGTCTATGGATGTGCGAAGGGTTCTGTTCTCCAGGTAGCTCTTGAACCAGCGGTTAATGGGGCCTCGTACACCACACTCGTCCATCGCCCGCAGCAGTACGTCGTGTTCCAGAGTATCGAATGCTTTTTTGTAGTCAATAAATAATGCTGCGACACACTTACCCTGGTTGAGGTTGTTGTTGACGTAGTCGGTGAATTGCGCGAGTGCAGTGGCAGTGCTGCGCCCGCGCCGGAACCCGTGCTGCGCCTCGGAAATTATTTGATGTTGTTCTAAATAGCTACTAACCTGATTTACAATGACTTTTTCTACTAATTTATTTATTACTGATAATATTGCGACTGGCCTATAGTTACTGTATTCCAAATGATTGCCTTGTTTAAATATAGGTCTTATTAGAGATTTTTTTAATAGGTCTGGGTAAACACCCCCACCAACACACATATTGATTAACTTAGCTAATACTGGACTAATTTCTTTTTTTACCCGTTTTACATCTTGATAGCTGTTTGTTTTGTATTCCGGATGGCAAATACAGACGCACATATTTAATGTGAATTAAAGCCAGTTGTGCCACATAATAGGGTGCTTCATCAACGGAAGGCGAAGTATAATGTGCTATTTGAACTTTTAATTTTAAATGTTTGACTTGTACGGGCACACCCTTTAACGAAACACTCGCCCTTATGGCATGAACTACGGAATGGGTTTAATATGTAGGTACACACATATATATGTGTACCAATATAATTAATTATGGTTTAAATTAAAATCTTTATTAATACAACTTTTTTGTAGGATCACCGAAACGGACTCCAACTCTATCCCAACTGGTGCGTTTTCCATAGTTCGGAACACACCGTTCGACTTCACCCTGTTCAAGAAGTTAGGTGATGCCATGGCAGCAGGACAGAACCTATTTGATGACAACTTCTGCGTCAATACTTTGGGCCCATCGGTTAGTTAAAATCTTCATTTATTTCCCTGACTAGCTTTTACCCGCGGCTTCGCTCGCGTCACAAAAGGATAAAAAATAGACTATCCATCCGTTCAACTACCTTCAGTTAAAAATCACGTTAATTAGTATCTCCGTTCTGCCGTTTAAGACAAGGAAACAAATAGATAGCTTTCCGCTCGCGTGGAATTCGGATATATCACGCTATTTACATTTTTACAATAAGTAGGTAATTCGTTGACTGGTTTTAAATGACATACCAGTACATACAGCGCCATCTATACCAATATTTTTGTTTTTCCTAGGAAATATCATTTTTTTCCGAGATAAAAAGTACCCTATTATTTAATCCAGACTTCTAACTTTACGTCTCCAAAATTTCAAAGCAATCGGTCTAGTTAGTTACTAGTAGGCGTGAAGGCGGAACAAACAAACAAACAAACAAACTCACTTTCCGATTTATAATATAAGTAAGGATAATATAAGTAAGGAAGTAAGGATTACAGATCTTTTTTATTCTTCCACGACTAGTTTGCGGTTGGTCTGGAGTCTCAATCAAATTCACCCGTTGTCAGATGTTTTAGATTTACGACTAATGGTTATTAAAGTCTTGTTATAAAGACTTTACAGAAGTCATAATTCCACCACTAAAAAGATCCCCCACCAACTACAATCCTACATCAACCTGATGTTACTTATGTCTGTGAGATGAGCGGCGTTGACCGCATACCATCAGGTGATTCATTTCCTCGATCACCTCCTATGCCATTACCACTAACTGTGTTACCACTAACATTTTTACAGCTTACCACCTACCACATACATTTCTGCACTACCCAAAGGATGACTGGCAGAGAATGCTGTTAGCATTAAGTCCTCCTTATGCAATTGTATTGTATAAAACTTAAATAAATAAATAAATCCTCACAGACTTTTTTGGAGTGACCAGGAAATGCAAATTTGATAATCACATATTAATGTGATTGCCAGAGAATACAAATACAATTTACTTATTTACAATTTCCAGATTTTGTCCCTCGTGGCTGTGGTCACCCATCCAAGTACCGGCCGTTTCCTGGAAGTACACAGCAACCAGCCAGGAGTTCAATTCTACACATCCAATTTCCTCCCCTCTCCTTCTGAACCAGCTTTAATAGGCAGGAATGGAGCTGGTTACAGACGCCACGGGGCTTTCTGCCTTGAAACCCAAACCTTCCCAGATGCCGTTCATCATTCCAACTTCCCCACCAGCATCTTGAACCCTGGCGAAGAGTATGATCACCGTGTTGTCTACAAGTTTGGTGTTTATACTAATGATAAGGTTATTGAACCCTCGGTATTGCCAGCTTAGTGGATTTTTGAAAGATGGTAGAAATATACAAGAAATGTTATGTACAGAGTGAATAGAAAAAATATTTAATTATTTTTATTATTATAAATTGTGAGATTGAAATATATAGTAAACTATTTATGCATTTATATGCCAAGTCTTTTATTTCTTATCAAATTATTAGTTCTGATTGACACAAATAAAACTACAAGCTAGTTCGACTCCATTTATTTTTCTTAAAACATAGCATCAAAATATGTATCCTGTATAAACTATCAAAGAAAAATAAGGGTAGTTTCCTAAATTTTATTTTAATGTCCGTCTGGTACATTAATTAAAAACTTTAGACACGTATTTTTTCTTTTCTCACAAAATTAAATACTTTCGACGACATATTAATTTGAAATATAGTATGACGTCACAGCGTGTCACATTTTGTAGCACGTTATGACGTAACGACCCTAAACTTAGCGCCATTTTATCTAAGTATTGCAACTTAATACGAGAAAATAAAAAAATACGTGTCTAATATTTTTTCATTATCTAACTGACGGACTTATTCGATTTTTAATTTTGATACCCTGGAAACTACCCAATTGCAGATAGGTACATACATTATTGCATTAAATTCGAGATTTCTTACATTAATATGTTGTCATAATTTAAAAATGTAACAATATAATTATAATAAAGTGTTTGATATGAATGGTATCAATTCCAGCAAACAGTATACGAAATTTATTATCTGATCATTAGATTGTAATAAATATTATATTCAGTGTATCAGGACATCTTACTAATATTATAAAGACTAAAGTTTGTATGTGTTTACTCAATCATGTCATATTGGCTGAAGGGTTTGGGATGAAATTAGGTTCAGGGGTAAATTATGGTATGGTATAAAACATAGGCTACTTTTTATCCGACGGTAACGAGAACAAATAGAAGGTAGTCTACTATATAAAAATAAGTCGGGTTGTCCTTCCTGACGCTATAACTCCAGAACGCACGAACCGATTTCCACGGTATTGCATTCGTTGGAAAGGTCTCGGGCTCCGTGAGGTTAATAGCAAAGAATGTTACATAAAACGAAGCCATCTGGTGGCGAAACGGAGTTCGTCGGGTTTGCTTGTTGTCTATAAAAATTAAACACCTATCAAATTGCATTTCAATCAATTAAAATTAGGCTTTACATGTAATTTCTTGTATGTTAATCCTTAAAGCTTAGAATGCTTAGTAATCCGACTCGACTTCATTTTATTGTAGACTAGCGACCCGACCCAGCTTCGCACGGGTGCAATATGCATGTATTATACATATAACCATCCTTAAGAATCGCTTTATCTATTAAAAAAAAACGAATCAAAATCCGTTACGTAGTTTTAGGGATCTAAGCAAACATAGGGACAGACAGACTGCGGATAGCGACTTCGTTTTATATTATGTTTGATGTTTTACCTACCAACAATTAACTAATGCAGATCTTAAAACTACAGAGGCAGCGTTAAACTTAAGTGGTACCTAAAATTTACTATTCGAGCTTGTTAAATGAGGACTACCGCTCCTTATTTGGCCTTTAGGATCTTGCGTAACCATGTTTCGACCAGTAGTCTTGTAGCGAATCTCTGACAGACTTTAAAACAATAGTGGCGCCATCTAGGAACCGCAAAAACGGTAGCCCTCATTATTTTATATTACAAATAAGGTTTCTTTAAACTAAAAAATAAATTGCGTGTCACAATTACTAAAAAAACACCTTTAAACTACGAAATTATATTCTAATACACGTTTCTATTGCCATAATGTTGTTTCGGGAACATCGCCGTTTGTTTCTTTCTGAGAATTTTGGGAATGTGCGCCATTTTGCATGTTTTGTCCATTTTCTTTGTCGCCCCATGTTAAGGTTAGGCTTTTCTTCATGTTATCATCTAGTGGAGGTATCAGAGAGCGAGGTAGCAGGAACGTTGACAGGTTGAAAAGATCTAAGAAGACTTTGTAGCGATCACTGGAAATAAAGTAACAATAGATTATTATTTATTGTTAAAGGATGGAAAATATTAGGGACGTATTTATCATTTTCTCGTAAAATGTTACAATACTTAGATAAAATGGCGTTAAGTTTAGGAGTGGGAGGTCGTTACGTCACAACGTGGAACAAAATGCAGGAAATTGTGACGTCACACGACATTTCAAAATAATACATATATCGTCGAAAGTATTTAATTTTGTGAGAAAAGAAAATACGTGGCTAATATTTTAAATTAGCCTACCAGACGAACAACATTAAAATAAAATTTAGAAAACTACCCTATTGTTGAGATATCCGGATTCCAAGCAACAGTGTTGAGCAGATTTAAAGAATTTGCCCTATCAGAACTCCACAACCATATCTAACAAGAAAAGTCAGTGCTTTGATTGTAAGTAAATGGGGTATAAAGTTACCTGAGAGTGGATCGGAGGTACTGGTATCCTGAGGAGCCGCCAGTGCCCAACTGCTGGGATCCAATCATACGCTGCACCATGATCACGTGGTTGTCTGCGAATCATCATCATTTTGTCATCATCACATTAAGTTGGGCTACATCATCAACAGCCTATAAATACCCACTGCTGAGCAAAGCCTCTTCTAACACGGAGAAGGTTTGAGCATTAATCACCACGCTTGCTCAATGCGGGTTGGCGATTACAAACTTATAATTACCTCTAGATGTTATAAGCCCAGGTTTCCTCACGATGTTTTCCTTCACCGTTTGTCAGTGGTGTCAGGTAAAATGGGTAAAGTGGAATTGGTAGTGATACTCACATCGCCACTTGGTGATGAGGCTGTCGATGTCCATGAGGAGTGTGAGGAGTTGGTGCGGCTGGGAGAACCGAGGCTCGTCTCTGTAGAACGTGATCATGATGGCTCCCTGCAACGCTTTGTGGGACAACCTGGGAATTAATGTTGATAACTGTTTTAAAGTCCTTTAACTTCTAGTAGTTCAACGTGTTTTAAAAGGAAAGGAAAATTGACTAATTTTTGGGTCTGTTTATGATCAAAATAAAATACGAAACCATAGCAATCAATTTGTATTAAAAAGTTTTAACCCTCGCTCGATAAATGGCGTTGAGTACCGGTTACATTTCCAGACTCCGTGGTACTGATGAGATTTTTTTGAAAAATCTAGTAATACTTTGCCCGATCCGGGAATCGAACCCTAGACCCCTTATCCGGTAGTCGCACTTGATACACAGACGACGTACTATTTTGTTGCAGCGTTACGTAAATCTAAAGACAGCATAGTAATTGGCGTAGTGGCTGGGTAACGGCTGCTATGCAACGTGACACGAGTTCGATTCCCGTCAAGAAAAGCTTTGACCTTGCCTCTTATAATTATGAAGTTGGACACAAACCTCCTTTCTCCCCTGGACCTGAGCGCGTCATGTACAGCGGGGTCGAAGATGGAGCGATATATCTCGCGCCGATTCTCTGCATCCTGCAGGCGGTGGCGACGGACTGTCTCGTTGGTCTCATGCTGAAATATAACATTAGAAGATAAATAAATGAGGAAATGGAGGACTATAGGAACATTTTTCTTTTTTTATGGTATAGGTCGATAATCAAGAAGACGGATCACCTGATGGTAAAGGCCTTATTAGACCACCCAATTTCGAGGGACCCTAACGGGAGGAGTCGCTAAGACTTTTTTTTTTTAAGGGGGGAAAATCATCGAATGGCTGCTCCCGCCTGGGTGAGGCGGAAGGGAGTGTCAGACTCTTACTGACTAAAAACCACCCCGTTCCTACTCCTGCACGTCGGGCCGGAGCCCCGGTTACCCGTTAGGTTCTCCGCGACGACTCGATAAGACTTAGGGAGTTAGTGTCCCGATTAAGGGCTATCGGGCACTTTTTCACCCAGATATTTCTCTACGTTATTGCGAGCACGGTTCTCACTGCTACAGCAACTTTTTGAAGTTTCAATACTGACGACGGCATAATGTAAAATGTGACAATACGTATATCTCTCTAGAATTTCGCGTATAAACTGAGTTAGGGCCCAATTCGTAGGAAAGTGTAATAAGAGCCTCACTAACTGGGGTACACGCCCACCCTGGATGCAGGGCCCTTCATATCGGGGTAATAAGCGCTTAAGCAATCGAGGCCGCCTATAGACACATGCAGAACCATAAGAGTTACGTACAAATGCGTTGCAAGATTTTTAAGGTTTTTTTTATGGGGGGAATATCATCCAATGACTTATCCTGCCCCCGGGTGAGGCGAAAAGGAGTGTCAGACTGCTACTGACTAAAAACCACCCTGTTCCTGCTTCTGCACTTCGAGCCGGAGCCCTGGCAACCCGTTAAGTCCTCTGCGGCTCCGTATCGGACATCAGCCTTACTGGGTGGTTATCTGTGGTGGTCTGATGGCTCTTTGAGGCGCCGCAAGCTTTTTGGGACCAAGCCAGCCTTGTTAGTAGTTCGTAGATACTCCCCCAGCATCATCTAGGTAAGCGTTTTACCACTACCTACTTAGGTTCTCATTTCGGTTGTCCCCTATCTGACCTTACAATTTAAAAACTTACCGAAGCAGCATCAATATCATCCTTGATGAGTTTGCTGACGGCTGCTTGGAATTTGCCCCAGAAGTTGAAGCCGTGTGTATTGAGACCTGGTGTCCGTTCCAACCAGCGCTCGATCAGAGCTAATAACGCTGGCTCCTGCTCGGACCTGGAACCAAGATCATTTACCATCATCGACAACCTTTAGGAGTTCACTCCTGAACTGGCAATAGACATAAGAGGCTTTGTCATAATCTTCATGCTTAGCAGGCGAGTTGGAGATTGCAGTCTAAATTTAAATGATATCTGTTAAGATAAGAGTGTTTTCCTTTAGTCGGCTTTACGCTATTCACGAGACCAGCAGCTGTAGCCAAATGCCATTTAGCGCTTGTCTACATGTAGAATAGAAACCAAATTATATGGAATTGACGTAAATTTTGACACTTGTCAGTGTCATCCCCATACATTTAGTTTTCTACTCTCTCTGTAGACAAGCGCTAAAGTGGCGTTTGGCCAAAGGCACAGGGGTGGTAACAAATATATTCTACTATGTCATCAAAGAACACACTTAGATCGATAAGATATAAACTTACTTGTGCAATGCCTCCATGGCCTCAGGGTCGTCTCCGAACACCGTCTGGTAACTCTGGTTGTATTTCACTCGCAAGGCTTGTTTTAAACCCAGCTGTAAACACAGGACATTTACTACATAAGTTAAATGTAATGTAACCTGAACTTTTATGTTCGACAAATAATTTAGTAAATGCATACTTGACATCTTATTATACCTACTGATTGTAGCAAACAGCAATATTATTTGAGTTCAATGTCATATTGATCAAAATCAATTCGTGTGTGTTTCCACGTATTAATAGTACCTACCTATGCTCATTTAAATGACAATAAATTATTGAGTGGTGAGTGCTACAGAGTGGATACAGAGAAAGTATCCAATTTTACACTTTTATAAAGAAATATTAGCCAAAAAATGATTTGAAAACGAAAACATTTATGATGTACTACACTGTACCTTAGATAGAGGTAGATAACTATGTTTAATTAAACACCTGGGTACCTTGTTTTCAAGTAAACGGAACTGCAAGCTCTGGAAACCGGAGGCAGGACGGAGGTAGTTCCTGAAGTCCATAAAGTCCAGGGGAGTCATCGTCTCCAGAATCATCACCTGGTCCACCAGCAACTATTGGAGACAACACCATGATATAGTACAAGTGATAGAACCTAAATCCAGAATATATGGAACAACTTAGTGTTAAGCGTCACCTTTCAATGCCCACCCAAAACTCAATGACATTTTACCAAGAACCGGGAATCGCACCCAAGATACCTCGTTCGGCAATCGCAATTCCGACCACTTGATTAACCTCGCAATCAAACCAAAAGTAAGTAAGTAAGTAACGTAAAGTACTGGTTTTATTGTACGTTGACATCATGCCCTTTACCGGCCAACGGTGGAGGTAGAAGTTACTTTTTTTATAGGGAAAATCATCGTATTACTTTTCCCGCCTGAGTGAGGCGGGAGGGAGGGTCAGACTCTTACTGACTAAAAACCACCCCGTTCCTACTCCTGCACGTCGAGCTGGAGCCCCGGTAACCCGTTAGGTTCTCCGCGATTAAAGATTACACATAAGGACTGCAAATAAGAAACACAAATGACGAGTTACTCACGTAAATAACTAGAGGTATACTTACAGAGAAAAGCTCTACTAGTTTCGAGTCACAAAGGGACTCTTCCTCATGAACAGCGTGTGCGGTAGCGGTAATGTCGCGAAGCCTCTGTGACTCGAAACTAGTAGAGCTTTTCTCAATATATTAAAGTGAGTAACACGTATGTTTTTAGTTTTTTTTTATAGGATTAGCCGTTGAACGAGCAGACGGATCACCTGATGGTAAGCATCAGCGTCGCCCATGACACCTGTACACAGAGGCGTTACAAGTGCGTTACCGTTCTTTTGGGATTTGGAATTTGTGGAATACTTGGGATTCAAGGATTGGGAAAGGGGGGGGGGTAATTGGGCTTCCGGTAACCTCACTCACACGACGACGAAACACAACACAACGTTGTTTCACGTCGGTCTTATGTGAGGCCGTGGTATCACTCCGGTTAAGCCGGCCCATTTTATTCAGCATGTTTCACGATAGTTATTATAAAAACACTTCATGTTTCTTCAGGACAAAAAACATGATGTTCCGACTACCTACATAGTACAAAGGGATATGCAGTACCTATGTGCCTCATGCGTATAGTGTGTTATCTCTTGTAATATTGTCTGTGTGGTGTGGCTGTGGGTACATGAAATGATAAATAAATAAACAAATAAATAAATAGTACCTATCTATGACCAGCTACATTGTATGCTAGAGGTTAGTACCCACATATATATATGTTTACATCTGTTGTGGCCACTCAATAATTGCAAGATGTCTCAAATAACAACTTTCTCTCCTACTTTCACATCATTGATTATAACACGTCATTGATACAAGGAAGTTGTGCATAATGATTATTATCTATGCATGTATTTACTAATGTTATTTAAATCATTATCATAACATAGAATCATGTGGCTAACGGCAAATGGAGGATTTTTATAATCATACTAGTATTTTCTCCTGTGTCGTGTGTGCGTTTACAAACATACAAGTTCACATACACATGACATCCAGACCCGGAACAACAATCTGTGGGACACACAAAGAGTTGTTCCGTGTGGGTATCGAGCCCGCGACTCCTTGCGCGGCAGCCGGTTGCCCAGCCACCGCGCCAACCGTGCAATCAACATTGTAATTGGGTACTTTCCTTAGTAAAAAATCAGTTATTTCGACTGTTCAATACAATAAAACATTTTAAAAATCACACTTCCATTAATTGATTTTATGACCAACTTAATTTTAGTATTTTTCCAGCAAATTATTAAGTAATAAGTATTCTGTTTGACTCTAAAAAACGTGACGTCACAATACACAATCTAGTACAAAATTCACAGGAAACTGTCGTTTTTGACAGCTCGAAAAAAGTATTGAATTTGACTAGTTGGCAAGTATTCAATTAGTGAGTGTACTTTGTTTCCTCGATACTATCCACGAAAACACTGAGAACTTCTTCTTCTAACTTATCAAAATTGCATGCCGTCCCTTTGGAAGACGATAAGAGATACTGAGAGAGGGGTTATCATACCATCCGATAAATTAATAAAACATTAATTACAATTTCCGTTGTAGGTACCTACGTAAATAAGAAAAAATATTAAAAAATGAACTATTGTCACGTCACACATACCGATGTGTTTGTGTTACTCATTACGCATAATATAACAACCGCGATAGTGTTGTGCCCTGACATTTGACCCCTTTATCGACATCGATACGTAATTTTTTATCGACAATCTGGCTCGCACTAGTGACACGCTGTTATATTGCGTCCTTAAAAAAGTTATGATCATGCTGTTATTAGGAAAATATTAGATTTTGGTTAATTTTAGCACCCAACGGCGCTGTATCTACTTAAATCATGTATTATTATTAACATAACATCACGCCTTTTATCCCTGAAGGGGTAGGCAGAGGTGCACATTATGCCACTGTACAATGTAACACCCACTTTTCACTATTTATGTTATGAATCCCATGTAATAGGGGGTGAGCCTATTGCCATATACCGGGCACAATTCCAGACTCCGTGCTACTATTAAGGTTTTTTTAAACCTAGTAATACTTTGCCCGACCCGGGAATCGAACCCGAGACCCCTTGCCCGGCAGTCGCACTTGCGACCACTCGGCCAACGAGGAGAGCAGAGCAGTATTATTATTATTATGTATAATTCTTAGTTTTCTCAAATAAATAAAATAGAAAATGAATTGAAGTGACTCGATTGAGTCGAACTCGAAACCTAAAGAGCAAATGGTCTTTGTTCTGTGCTCATAATTGGCAAAATTTTGTGTCTCTGATAATTATGGCTTGTCCCTTCTGCTTCCGACATAAATTTGGCGAAAAGTAGATTTGAATTAAATACTTTAATTAAGGCAATTGGTACCCCTCTGGTTTTCTCTTCCAGAGATAAAAGTCGTGAAGTCATTTTACGTTTAATTGTTCTAATTAATGAATAATTAACGTTGATCTTCAGGGTAGAAAATCAGATTTATCGCTCGAGAGCCTACCTAATTATAAAAACATTAAATCTTATAATGCGTGTGATGTAATTATGAAACATGTGATTGAATCTGATAACAGAGGTAGTAATGTGTTCTTGCATAATAAACAGTGATTATAATTATAAAAACAACTAATATTTATACCTACTTACTACATGTTATATCCTAAGGGCTTGTACACAAAACTGCGATGTGACGTCGCATCGCAAAAACGGGCGAGCTCCCTCTACGCGTCGCAAGAACTTGCGAATTGATTCGCATCGCGCATCAAAATCTTATCTTCCCAAAATCTTATTTGTTTCTTTTTCCTGTATCTCCTAAGCATTAATAGTAGTGCACACTTCTTTTTACGATCCATGTCACGACCTAGTTTTCAATTTAAAATACGTTATGTACTGTTGACGGTCGTCGAAGGAATGGTCACCCTGGAAGATGCCTCGTCCCATGAAGTCGTATCGCAGTAATTGGCATCGTATTTTTTGCGTAGCGAATTCGCATCGTATTTTTGTGTACGAGCCCTATATTATGATATAGGTACAAAGCCGTATATGTATATAATTAAGGCAAACTAGGCAACTACTTAGGGCCCCAGGTTACAAAGAGATGCCGCGAGACATGCGTACCCATTTGCTAATAAAAGAGTTGCACCAAAAATTTTTAAAAATGTGCCCTTTTAAATCTTTACTCTTTACCTAATGAAACAAGTGAAATTCATGCACTTTTACACGTCAATTTTTCAACCGAACGATGAACCCGACATTTTCTATCTGACTACTCTGAAAAGAAATGACGAAACAAACTCTCTGTGAGCGCCTACACACTTTGTTTAATTCGCCCCTATAAGGAATAGTTATAATGTAGGTAATAATGTGCCAGTTAAGAGCGGACAGGCCTCACAGCGAACGAAAAGTTCAGCGGAATTATTTTCGAATCACGTGTCGCGTCAAAGCGTATAACCACAGATTTCGCGAATTTTTACCGCCTATGTGTATGCCTTCACAAGATTCTATGTGTTAAGCATACATACATAGTACATACCTAATACCTATAAGTACATACAATAATTATATGACATGTATTCTACGTAAGTTGAGGCGTTAATCGCGAGTGTTAATTACATTTCATTTTCCAAGTTCTAGGTATTACCTGCATATCTGCATTGGTGGCTATATAATGTTATAATTTATAAGTAATTAATGAAGGTATTAATGAGTTGTTGTTAAACCGTAACTTAATTCCCAGTTTACGTCAGACCATGAAGAACGAAGTATTTTCTCGATATCATTTTGTGATTCTTTTGGTATAGAACTATCCTTAGTCCTTAGTATATATATATATATATATATAATATTATAAATCGGAAAGTGAGTTTGTTTGTTTGTTCCGCTTTCACGCCGTAACTACTAAATCAATTGCTTTGAATTTTTGCAGACGTAAAGTTATAAGTCCGGATTAAATAATAGGGTACTTTTTATCCCGGATAATTTTGATATTCCCGAGGATAAACAAAAGCATTGGTATAGATGGCGCTGTGTGTATAAGTATATGTCACATAGGCTACTTTTTATCCTTTTGTGACGCGAGCTAAGCCGCGGGTAAAAGCTAGTAGAATAGAATAAGAAAGCCTAAGAACATCTATGTAATACCACCACATATGTTCAGACGTTAAGCATTGCCATTCAACGTGGCAATGCTGCCAATTGCCATGTTGGTAGGGTACCTCACGATAACGTTGAGGAAAATTTTTTTTTGATGCCTTATGATAGCATTTCTATTATTATTATTAATTTTTTTAAAGTGTAAATATTTTAGTTTATTGTTATTTATATTTTAAGTTGTATATATTTTAATTTAGTAATAGTAAATATTAATTTTATTTATGTCATGTCTATTAAATTTTATTCCTATGTTCCAAATAAATAAATGATTATGATTATAATCTACAATATTATTTATATTGCACGGTTGGTGCGGAGGCTGGGCAACCGGCTGCCGCGCAACGTGAATCGGGTTCGATCCCGCACGGAGCAACTCTTTGTGTGATACACAAATTGTTGTTCCGGGTTTGGGTGTCATGTGTATGTGAACTTGTATGTTTGTAAATGCACCCACGACATAAAAGAAAATCCTAGAGAGGTGCAATGTTTTTTAAAAGAAAGATATATAACGTGCCTAGGTAGGTACTTCTTTATCAAAGGTAAACGAGCACCTCCGGACCTTTCCATAGCCGCTGTACCTAACTGTAACACTTTTTTTTAAACCAGCCCATTCGTGTCGAAGCATGGGTATCCCACGTGCATCGAGTCTTGTTTATATTTACGTTCTGCTAGACCCTGGGGTTAAGTACACATTTAGATAAACAAGTACTTATTTATAACATAACACCACGCCTTTTATCCCCGAAGGGAAAGGCAGAGGTGCACATTACGGCACTTAATGCCACTGTACAATGTAACACCCAATTTTTACTATTTACGCCGAGTCCAAGAAGCTATTCAGTCCTTTATTAAGGGGATCTCTAAAGGTATCTCTTACCTTCAATATGAGCACGACCCTGTTGAGCCTCTTCAGTATCTCCATGGTGTGGCTTTCGTCCAGTCCCTCCACGTCCAACAATGCCCGCACAGAGTCTACCTCGAATATTATCTGCTTGAACCATAGCTCGTAGGCTGAAACCAAAAACCTCTTTTAAAAACCAAAAATTACCTTGTTTTTATAAGTTCCGCACAAGCAAGAGAAATGTAATTATAATAGGTCTTAGATAGGTTAGTAGGCTTTTTTTTAAGGGGGGAAAATCATCGAATGACTGCTCCCACCTGGGTGAGGCAGGAGGGAGTGTCAGACTCTTACTGACTAAAAACCACCCCGTTCCTTCTCCTGCACGTCGAGCCGGAGCCCCGGTTACCCGTTAGGTTCTCCGTAGGCTAATCTCCTGTTATCCCATTAGGACCAGGATATGGGCCCCCATCAAGGCCCGACCCTTCTTGGAGACCTAACCATACTTAATATGGGCATTACATTTAATACTACATAAAAATAAACAACTGAACCTATTGGATTTTGGTAAGTTTTGGCAAAAATATGAAGACTTGTTTTTCAAGGACAATGCTCTAACTTAATAGAAAAAGTCTTCAAGATATCCACCTATACTCACAGAAGGACATAAGCGTTATTGTAATCATAGGGAAGATGAAATATGTATTTCAATTGTTATCTCTTCATAACTTTCAAAATACTGACATCTGGTAACTTTAAAGAACTGTAGAGGCATAACTACAGTGTGGTAAGTTCTCAAAAGGCTCCCACCTGTAAGGTTACGGCGCGTTCGTTCAGAGGTTTTCTTCTCTCTCTCTTTTTTATTGGGAACAGTATAAACCAACCGATGACTTGGCCACGGGCCCCGAAAAGTATAGTTACGCCGCTGTGCAACTTTGGGCCACTTCTCGGAAATTGAAAGAGTAAAATAGTTGACGATTTTTTATTCTTACCTTGATGAGTGATAATAAACAGATGCTCATCATGCACTGGCTTAGAGGACTCGGAGCTGAGCATCCTCTGAGCTGAGAGTAGTTTGTCCAGCATCAGGTACTCTCCGTACAGCATACCAGCCTCGTTGCCGAGATGGTTACCTTCCTGAGCCGAGCTCTCGTCCATCATAGATCTGTAGACAATGATAATTATAAATTATTTAATTGTGAATATTTTTCAAATTAGGTCTTGGTGAGATTGGGAGATTCCTATGTTCTACCGTGAACGTCTTCTGGCGGTTGCTGATGATGAAGTCTTGAAGATAAATGGAATATTTGGAATTGGAATATTTTGTATTAAGGACATAATAAATAAGAAAGATTCATGTCTTTTGATTTTTGTAATTGTCAGTAAGCTAAATTTGAAGCTACACAACATTAATGAGTATGAGGCCATGAGAAGCATTTTTTTTAAGGGGAGAAAATCATCGAATGACTTCTCCCCCTGGGTGAGGCGGGAGGGAATGTCAGACTCTTACTGACTAAAAACCACGCCGTTTCTTCTCCTACACGTCGAGCTGGAGACTCGGTAACCCGTTAGATTCTCCGTGACCTAACTCATTTTTTTCATAATATCGAGGTTATGATTTTTTCCAGTTCAAATTGATTTTTGATAGAACCAGTGTGGTTTCAAATTGATATAATTTCTTAAATTAAGCCACTATGGTTCTCATAAATAAGAGCAACTGCATGAGACTTTATTAAAATCCTGTAGATGCACTTTTGCATTCATATTTACAAAATCTTTGTTAGGTCAACGAACTCAAAATTTTGAGTTTTGGACTCAATTGTTACAACATATAGACATGTCAATATAATAAAAATCATGTTTGGTCACGAACGAGTAATTCTGGTTGAACTGGACTCGAACCTTGCTTATTGCTGTCAATCACAAACAGCAGACAGGCTACCTACTGGTTTTGATCAGTTCATGACGAAATCTCAAAACCGATCTGCTCATCAGTTTTAATGTGATGTTAAAAATTGTGAACATATTAAAGAATATTATATTTTTGTATGCAAGGATACGATCATTTCATGTTTATTTATTTTTAGTAATTTAATCCAATAGACAAATACTTAATTCATACACCCAATTTGAGGTCTGTCGTCATAACGATATCTATGCAAATAATAATGAAGAATTTGTTCGTTTTTTAGAATTTATTTGCAATTTTATACATAGATATTTTTTCAAGGTCGTAAACAGAATGAGCAGAGATATTTTTTTCTACCATTTTTCTTCAACGAAAGTGGACTGATTCAGTCATTACCAATGACTGCAATAAAAGTGTTACTCATGGTGATGACCTATGCTCTGATGATGCTATTTATTTTCATTTAAAAGGGCAGTTTACAAAAAATAAAAGTCTTAATTAAACGATACAGATCTCGCGTATTTCAAATACCTGAACTAGGAGAATCCTTTAACATAGGTGAGAGGAGCTCTAGCTTTGTATATTCATTATAAGTACATAGAATAACTTATTTCATGTACAAAAATATTCCAAAACTAAGTACTTAAAACAGGTTATGGACAAGATGCTCTTTAAGGCAATGATGTATGCCTGTTGATGAACAGACAGTTTACTGCTACACCTCTTACTGCGGTTGCTGCTAACCCTCTTGTGTCTCGTCATGTGTAGATGAAGCCCATAGTCCTATTTTTAAAGAGGTTTTGCTTTGCCATAGTTTCCACCCTTGGCAGGCGAGTTAAATAAGGTTCTGGTTTATCAGAGAGCGCAGCTGCTCAGTCTCTGCCCAATTAGTTAGGCCCTCTTATGCCGGAATAATGAAACGTTACTCAATTTTAAGTCGTGCTCAAATATCGTGCCATCTCTGTCATTTTACAAAGAATATGTAGAGATAGAACTATACTTAAGCACGACTTAAAATTGAGTAGCGTTTCAGTATTCCGACAATAGTCAGCTCAGTTTTACTGTGTCGCCTGTCGTCACCACCCGGTTTTGGAAACGATAAAAAGATGTTTAAGTATTGTTTATTATTTTAAATAGCACAATATCATGCCCTTTATCCCCAAAGGTGCACATTACGGCACTGAATGCCACTGTACAATGTAGCACCCACATTTCACTATTTGTGTTTTGTCGTGTGAGTGAGGTTACCGGAGGCCCAATTCGACCCCCCCTCCCCCTTTCCCTGAATCCCGAATAATCCTCAAATTTCTAATTCCAAAAGGCCAGTAACGCACTTGCCTCTGGTCGCACGCAACGCCTCTGGTGCTCCAGGTGTCCATGGGCGACGCCGATTGCTTATCAATAGGTGATCCGTCTGTTCAATTACTGACCTATCCCATAAAAAAAATTTAAGAGTCCTATGTAATGCAGGGGTGAGCCTATTGTTTTAATATTTTTAAATGACTTCCGAAATATTTATTTATTCCTATATTTATTTTAAACAGACGTAAGATGTTACATACTAATATATTATGAATAACACCTGTCTTGGCTAAAAATAAGACAAAATTACCTATGTAAATATAAACAAATTAAAATTCAATAGATAATAATGTTATGGTATTGTTTTTCTTGGTTTTTGTGTATTGGATAATTTGTGTAAATAGTGCACGTCTTACGTCAGTAGTGCTAAAAATTGTCTGCAAACAAGTCTGTCAGTCAGTTTTTGGTTTACCATCGATATTAAGGAATCGATTTAGAGGTAGATAAAATTTGAAATGCTAATAGCTGGTTAACAAAAAGTAATTACTGCATGCTATTTTAATATGTGTTTGTTTGTTGTGTTCGAATCACCTTGAGCAATTATTTTGCTTCAGCTATGGGTATCTAGAACAGTAATAACTGAAGTGGTCATGTGTGTGGTCACTTTTGAAACTTGTTTTTTTTCTTATTTAGCTCAATTATTGAGGAAGGTCATTGGCGATAACGATAGCCTAACTGTGTTGTCCTGTTTTTAAAGTGTATAAGTTTTTATTAGAAGATTTCTTCTAGACGAATTTTAATTGATTTCAGATGAATCAATATTGAGAAATTTTCACACAAACATAATATAACATCACGTCTTTATCCCCGAAGGAGTAGGCAGAGGTGCGCATTATGGCACTTAAGCCACTGTACAATGTTACACCCACTTTGCACTATTTATGTTTTGAGTCCCATGTAATAGGGGGTGAGCCTATTGCCACATACCGAGCACAATTCTAGACTTAGTGCTACTGGGATTATTTAAGATCCAGAATTTTTTTTTAAAACCCAGTAATACTTTGCCCGATATGGAAATCGAAATCGAGGTTCCTTGCCCGGCAGTCGCACAAAATGTCACTGTTTTAGACAAAATGAGAATAATAATTATTAGAACCCCCTTATATTAGTAGCCCGGAATCCAGAAGTCCAGAACACATTCATGTACATCAGCGGATAATATTGGGAACTGCTGCTGTTGCTTAATTTATAAGATTCCAGTTTATCATCATCAACAGCCTATAAGTGCCCACTGCTGAGCAAAGCCTTCTTACACGGAGAATGTTTGAGCATTAATCACCACGCTTGCTACATGCGGGTTGGTGATTTTAAAAGTACCTATACTATTATTAGAAATTATACGTTCAGGTTTTTGTCCTCACGGTGTTTTCCTTTACCGTGTGTCTATATATTGTAATATACTTACAAACTACATAAATACATATAAACTCGGAAAAAGCCACATTAGTACTTGCCGTGGGTAAGTGTGGAACCCGCGCCCTCATTCATGAGAAGCAGCGTCTTACCTTACCCTCCGGGTCGACAGACATCTCATCAAAATTCCAGTATCTATTACTGACTAAAAACTACCCAGTTCCTAGTTCTTAGTACTCTACTTTGAGCTAAAGCCCTGGTAACCCGCTATGTCGTCCCAGACCCAGGACCTAATATCTATTTACAGCACATGAATTATATTGTTTATTCACTTCAAACCTTTAAGAAAAGAGTGTGCCTATTCCTTTTTAAAAGGCCGGCAACGCTCCTCTGGTGTTACGGGTGTCCATAGGCGGCGTTGATCGCTTACCATCAGGTGATCTGTTTGTTCGTTTGCCTCCTATTCCATAAAAAAGAAATCATGTTGTGTGGTTTGTATTTTCGATTCCCGCGCAAAACAACTTAAGTATTTGAACTTACTATTTGTAAGATAACGTTTGTATGTGTGTGTATGTATGTGAAGATTTAAATTTCTATCTCAATCGTGACCTCATATAAATTTAATTCATAATAAATAATTATTACGTGTAATCTTGTGGTGACACAAAAACAATTTTGATAAGGAATAACTTATGAATGTTTTACTTTACATGTCGTGGACACAGCGATTAATTGAACGTTATTTAGTGGTAAGCAGTATTATACCTAATTGCTATTTAAATTAGACTGGGTTTCATCCTTCACCTATCTGCTAAGAATAAAATATTACTATTTTTCATTCAGTACCTAGGTATAATAGGTACGTTTAGGTAACTGCTTTATGTTATATCAGCTTTATTACCTAAACATGTAGTCGCGATATATTTGAGACTTAGGTACATTTGCAATAAAGTGACGGGCTTTCCGATGGAAAACCAGTCACCATGGTCTATGGAGGCACCAGCAACACCAGAGGCCCCACAAAGTCACAAGTGCGTTGCCGACCATTAAATATTACACATTGGCTTATTTTTGTTGGGTCTGGGCCACCGAGATACAGGCTGTGCCTAGTTTGGGGCCCACGGCACCTCTGCCAATGCATGCTGTTCGTTTCCATGTCTACATGCATAGAGCAACACGGGCCACCGGCGGACCGGAGTGTTGCTATATGTCTACATGTAATCTAACTTGTGTAATGCCAATAAATAACTTTTAATTTTTTAATGAACTTAATTTTAATTTTTTGTTTTGTAAACGACTTCTTAAAAAAGGGGAGATTCTCAATTTGGGTGGTGGTTATGATTTCTTTTTGTTTTTTTTTTCTCAATGTTTTTTTATATCCATTCGAGTCGAAACTAAGCTAAAAAGGTAGGTTACTTGTCGACTTCTATATTTAATTCAGTAGCGCCATGATAATTAACTATAGGTACTCACCCCTTTTGTAACCTTTTTCTACGAAGCAGTGACCTTTGGGATTTAATCGCTATTTTACGACTTACATCCG